GCGGCGGCGGCCGCCGCGGCCCGCTGCTCCCCGACTGGACCTGGGCCTGAGCGGGAGCTGGAGCTGAGGGGGCTCGAGCGGGAGCTGAAGCAGGAGGAAGCGGCGGCTCCTCCGTCGCTGACGCGTCGCGACGGTGGCCGCGGTCATCCGCTGATGTCCGATGTGCTTGCGACGATCAGCCGCCGCCCTGGGGCGCGCCGTTTGCCCGATGCAGTTGCGTTCATTCGTCGCGCTGCCAGCCGCGAGCGCCCCCGCTCCTCTGCCATCGGGGCCGCCGGACGCCCGCCCAGGGGGGGGCCTTGGGACGCGTCGCGCCAAGTCAGTGCGCTCGCGACGATCAGTTGCGCCCCTGGGGAAGACGATGGTGCACATGGTGCATCAGTTCTGCTTTGTCGCGACCTTGGGGGGGCACCTGGTAGAGACGACGGAGGCCGCGCTCCAGATGGAACGATCGAGAGCCGCGCTCCAGGAAGCAGTGCGACTGGAGCCCATGGCCCCGTCTTCTTGCGCCCCCTCGAAAAGGCCGATCCGATCGCGACGACCTTCCGGCTTGCCCGCCACTCCTGTGGAGAGTCGCGAGGCCCCTCCTCCATTTGTGCCTGCGGCGATCAGTCGCTCACCCGGGGGGGGTCCAGGAGCGCTGCGAATCATGGCGATGCGTTTAAGGCGATCGGTCGTGCGCCCAGGGTAGGAAACGGCGGCGACCTCCCGGTCCACCCGCCACCCCTTGCGGAGAGCCCCGAGGCCCGTCCTCCATCTGTGCTTGCGGCGATCCGTCGTTCACCCAGGGAAGAATCAAGGAGCGTCGCAAGTCGTGGCGACGTGCTTGCAGCGATCAGTCGCGCGCCCAGGGCGGAAGATGAGGCAGACGAAGTTCCTCTCCTCTAGCGCGACACGCAGGGGAAGCATCCGGAAGCGGCATCGCCCCCGCTGTCCCCCATCCCATGGCCCTCTGCATGCCTGGCACGGACCCCGCGGCGCAGCTGCCGACGCCGCTGGTGCCGACGACAACGCCGACGCTGACGCTGACGCTGATGGCGACGACCCCGACCCCGACGACGCCGACGCCGACGCCGACGCCGACGACTTGGGGACAGACGCCGACGACGACGACGACGACGACGACGACGACAACAGCCGCGGCGCTCATGACGCCGACGCCGACGCCGACAACCTGGGGCCAGACCACCCCGGGGAAGCGGCGGGCCCTCCGTCACAGACATGAGACGACGGAGGCCGCGGCCATCCAGACGGAACGATCGAGAGCCGCGCCCCAGGAAGCAGCGCGACCGGGGCCCTCGACCCTATCTTCCCGCGCCCCTTCGAGCCGGTCGGAGACGCCGCCCTCCCCTGCGACAGTGCGAATCCCAGCGCCAAGGAGCGACGGCGCGGCAGCCAGAGTGCGACGGCTGGACGCTGGGCCCGGCCCCGAAAAGCCGCGATCCCCCAGCCCCCGGCCGCCCGCGGGATGGAACCTGGCGTTCGACAGCGTCGGCGGCCTGGCGGGGTCTGACAGGCGGTCGACGACCGACGACGCCGACATTGACGACGACGCCGACGCCGAAATCGACGCAAACGACGACGACGCCGACGCCGACGACTTTGGGACAGAGCACAGAGCCGGCGTTAGACCAAAAGCGCGGGGCGCCAGACGAGCAGGACAGGGCGACCAGCCCCCCCGCCCACTTCCCCGACTGACCCTGCTGGCGGCGGGGCTGCGCGCGAATCGTTCGACGTCGCCGGCGCGCCGAGCGACGAGCCCCCCAGGGGCCGCGGCTCGCGGCAGCGCCAGGCGCAGCCGCGCGGAGGCGACTCGCCGGCTACATCCATCGGCGGTCGCCCGGACGTCACTTTGCGGGCACCGCGCCCCCCGTCGCGGCCCGCGCCCTCTGGTGCCGATGGCATTGGCAGAGAAGGTCCGGCAGTGCGTGACCAGCGCTGGCGCGGCTGCGCCCGCGGACGCGGGTGGCCGCTTCCAAATCTCTCGTCGCGACGCGCAGGCTGCGGCTGGGCATCGCGTCGTCTCGCGCGGGCGCCGGGACTTTATGGCGGGGCTGGCCCCGACGCAGCAGCGACTGCGCAGCCGGCGCGGTGCGCTGCGGCGGGAGGGGGGCGGGGGCCGACGGGCGCAGCGACAGCGAGCATCCGGGCGATTAGCGGCAGCGCCCCAGGCTGCCGATCCAGCCGATCCCCCGGCACAACGGCGCGGCGCGCCACGGTGGGGGTGCTGCGGGGGCCGACGGATGCAGCGACAGCCGGCCATCTTGCGACCTGTGGCCCAGGCTGCCGCCTTTGCCGCTGCAGCTGCCGAGTTGTTTGGCAGCGACGTCATCGAACGCCCCTCCTGAGCAGGCAGGGCCCCCCGCCGCCTGCGCCCCTTTTTCGCTGCCTGCCCGCGGTGGCGACATCGCCTTGGGCATGCCTTTGCCGAGGTCTTCAAAGTATCTGCAGCGATCAGCTGCGCGTCCACCCTGGGGCGCTTCTCTGCCGAGGCTCTCAGAACATTTGCAGATCGAACGATCGAGAGTCGCGCGCCAGGAAGCATTCTGACCGGAGCCTTTGACCCCGTCTTCCTGCGCCCCTTCAAGCCGGATTTATCCGCATTTTTTTATTTGCCGCGGGTATGCCTCGGCCGAGGCTTTTCGAGCAACTGCAGCGATCAGCTGCTCACCGCGGGCGTTCCCCTGCCGAAGCTTTTCGAGTGCTTGCAGCGATCAGCAGCTTGCCGCGGGCATTCATTAGCCGAGGCTTTTCGAGTGCTCGCAGCGATCAGCTGCCCCCCATGAACCTCTCGGGTTGGCTCCGCTGGCACGGCGCCAGCTCCCCCGGGCCTTCGCTCTTGCCCCCCCCCCGCCACTTCATGGCCGCAAGGGTTCATGTTGGTTGCCCGGTCGGGCGGGCCCATCCCTGCCAATGGCCCGCTGCGCCCGAGGCGTCGCACCCCCCTGGCAGGCACTCGCGGGCGCCGGCCTCCGCGCGGCCCCCCGCCGCACCACCCTCGGGCTACCGCTCACTTGTGCGGTCCTCTCGTGCCGGTCATTTTTGTCTTCATGTTCGTCCACGTGGGGCGCGCGGGGCGGGTCGACGCCCATCTGAAGTCCTACCTGTGCGACAGGATTGTCCGTTGGCCTCGGGCGCGTGCTGGGCTCCACCCTCGGGCTACCTGATGGGCGACGTTCGCTTGCACGGTCATGTCGCGCCGGCCCTCTCAGTCTTCGGGTTTGTGCACGTGGGGTCCACGGTGTCGGTCGACGGCCATCTGAAGTCCTACCCGTGCGACAAGGTTGCCCATTGGCCGCGGGTGCACGCTGGTCACGGCTACATGGATGCAGCCGCCGCGTGGCGTGGCCTACATCCTACGCGCTCGACCTCTTGCTCACCTGAGGTACGCCGTTCGTGCCTCTTCGTCTGGCCCGGGGTCCACGCGCGTGGCACCTTAGCCCGCACTACTGTCACCAGTGGGCTTTTTCCGCGCCATTTTCGCTGCGTCTCCGCCTCCATGCTCTTCGTCGTCTTCCTCGTTATCCCTGACAGGTCTTCGCCTTCGGCGCGCTCTTCTGTTGCTGACCGCCCAGTTTCGCGGCCCCTCGCGCGTCGCCGCCCGCACTGCTTTTCACTTCGCTACCAGCGCGGCCCGCCCTGGCACGCTCGGCGTTCAACTCGTTTCGCGCGCCTGCTTACTAAAATGTGCATCCCGCAGTTTGCACCACATAGATTGCACTTCGCGGTCCGCGCCACGTAGATTGCACCTCGTTGAGCGCACGACTTAGATTGCGCAGCATGGCTTGCACCACGTAGATTGCACCACACTTTCTTAACGTATATCGCCCAGTATATACTGCTAGGCAGCAGTGTTTGATGTTTACGTTGGTTGGCACATGCATTTATACATGTAACGATATATCGGTGCGCGACATGTGTTTGAACATTTGTTAATACGCACGTATGTATATTTGTGTATACATATTACACATGTACATGTACTATAGATGTGTATATATGTGCACCACGCTTCGTCTCCTTATTTGGCTATATGTATATATATATATATATATGTATCCCTCTTTCTTTCTCTCTCTTTCTCTCTCTCTCTCCTTTTTGACTTTTCTCTCTATATACATGTGCGTGTGTGCGTATATCGGAAAAACCTACGGCGAATCACCGCCGCCCCTCCGCCTTGCCGGGATCGCCGATGTTGCCGACCGCTGTGGCAAGAAATCCGCCCATTTGTCGGGCAATGTGTTCCTTCAGTCATTGTGGGAACCCCTCGAGGGACGCTTGGCGGAGGATGGCGGGGATGATCCGGAGGAGGGAAAAGATGGGGAGGAGCAGGAGGAGGGGGAGGAGGGGACACTTTTGGAGCCTCTGGGAGCACCATCGGCCCGTACAGCCCCTGCCATATTTCCAAACGGATGCGCGCGGCGTTCGGTCGAGAATCACATTTTGAAAACGACCCGCCCTCAACGCGTGAAGCTCAAGCAAATTGCAAAATGAATGTAAGCGGCACTTCGGCGAGAGCCAAATATTGAAACACACACCCCCTCAAGCCGGGGGAAGCTCATCACACTGTTAAGAGGAGCGCGGGTGGGTCGCGGCCCACCCGTGCCGCGACCCACCCGCGCCCCCTGACTTTTTACCAGCAATTGCGGAAAACTAGGTACGATGTGTATTCCCCCCTTCTCCTTCTCACGTTCCACATCTCCCCCTATCCGACGCATCTCGCTAATCGCGTCGTCCGATGCGCTGGCGGTGCGGCGCGTGTTTGCGGTCCGACCGTGGTAGGGTCCATCAAACAAGCAGGGCTGAATGTATGCGGATGGCATGCCTCCTGACACGTAGGATCGGAAATCAAAGACCGTGCACGTTGGCATTGTTGAACGTATGAATGTCGTGATGGCGTGTTCATCGTAATCCTATCATGCCACGTCGGCTCAGCTCAGGGCCAGTGCGTTTCAAGCACAATGTGCTGCAGTCCCCTAGCCCAAACGGGGGCCGCCCAGGTACAACTGCAAGAACGGCCAGAACTGCCGCTTCGCGCACTCCCCCGAGGATGGGGCGGGGTGTGCCCGAGCAACCGCCACGGGAGCTGCCGTGCGGTGGTGCTCGGTTGTGGTTTATGATCCCCACCCCCGACGGGCAGCAAGCACCGTGAGCGTGCTTTCCGATCGGATGTCTCAAGAGGACCCGGGATGGCCACGGCATTGGACAGGTAAAGCCCAGTGTGGAGATAATTGTTCTGGATGGCGCAACCAAGGTTCGTTGCATTCTTTGTTTGTTGATTGGGAGGGGGAGGAGGGGAGGAGGAGCAGGAAGAGGAGAAGGTGGAGGAGGAGGAGGGAAACTAGAGGTTGTTTCAAGGTTTTCAGGTTTTGGTGTTTGTTGTGCAACCGGGTTTTTTTTGGTGCCTCCAGTGATCTTCGGAGGCGGTCGTCGGGAATGGGAGGGGCTTCACAGGAGGAGCAGCTGGAGGAGGAACAAGAAGACGGAGGACGGGGGAGGATACTTGTAGGAGGGTGATGCGAGGAGCACTCGGGCGCCTCCCGCCTCTGTTCGGGGCTTTTCGCACTGCGCCCTCTTTGGCCCGCTCTCCCGCTCGCCCTCTCCCGCCAGGGTGATCTCACAATTTCCCCTCCTCGCCTCCCCCCCCTCGACTTGTCCTGACGATCAGGAGGCCCCACGGTATGATCAGAGACTGGCAGCACTCCATCATCGTATCAAAGAGAAGTAGGTCAGACATTCGATGCGATACTCTTGTCCATCGTGCCAGGGTTTGGAGCGATCGCCTTCCGAACTCATCGAGGCGTTGTTTTATCTTATCTGATCCTCCTCCCCTCCCTCGCCGCTCCTCCCCCGCCCCTTCGCGACCTGGCACGCCCTGACCGAAACTGGCAGGTCGTGTAAGTAGTGTGTGTGTGTGAAGGTTTGGTGGCCAAGGCTTGTCTGTCAGGATGGCTAACAGGCGCGTGCTTCAACTCGACTCCGTGGATGTAGGTTATCGCAAGTTCCCCGTGGACGACTTTTACACATAGCGGGTGGCTGGACCCATCCCTCACATGATTTTTTTGTTGCCAGCATGATCATTTGAAGACTTGGTATTGAGGCACATGCGGTCTCTTCTGTCAGGCCAAGTCCAGGGGCCTTGGGAAGCCTTGCAGTCTACCTCTACCGAAGTCCAAGACCCGCCGAGCACATCTCGGTAGGACTGCCGGGGATCTATTTCCCAAAGCAGGCTGAGCTTGGTTTTCGCACTATGTGAGTGGCGGATCCTGGAAGCACCGTTGGAGGGGAGGGAGGATGGAGCAAAGGAGAAAGAGGGAGGTAGGAGGGCGGTAGAGAGAGAGAGAGGGAGGAAGGGAGGAAGGGAGGGGCGGAATGAAGGTGGAGGGAGGGAACTGATGCCCCCCCCCAGGGTCCTGGGCCCCACGGCAGGAAGTCGCTCCCCCTGCCAGGCGACCGCCGATCCTCCGAGGCGCGCGCGCCCAGGGCCCCTCGAGAGTCCTGCGCCCTTCCGGCCTGTCCTCTTCGAGATCCCCCTCCGTGGGCGTCCGCCGATCCTCCGCCTCCTCGGCCCTCCCGCCGCCGCAAACATCTACACAGACACCCTCCAGAGGACTGTTCCTGGGCCTCAAGGGAGGGTGGTGGTGTAGAAACCACCACTGGGAGCCAGCGACTTTCTACACCGCTGCCCTCCCAGAATGTATAGGCAGAGTTCGTCGGAGGGTGTCCGTGTATATATTCTCGTAGCGTATTCCCTCCTCCGACCCCCCAAGCTTTGCCGTGGGCGTTCAGGCCAGCAGGACGCGGCCCAAAGATGAGACGTGCCCTCGTACGTCGCACCTCTTGATCGTCTGCTCCTCTTCCTCTGCGTTCGCTGCGGCACCCCCCGCGATCCCGATTCTGTTTTCTCTGGCTCCTCCTGGTTGTCTTCCCCATCCTGCTCCTTCTCACGCTGATCCTACGTGCCGCCGAGAGGGCCGCCGTAGGCGCTCCGAGGGCCGCCCTCGCCCCCCCCCCCTCCCGAGAGCCCCCCCCAGAGCCGCCCGAGGGCTGCCCCGAGGGCCCCCCTCCTTCCCTCTTCCACCTTCCACCTCTATACTCCTCGTCCCCCTCCCACTCCCCCTCCTCCTGTCCCCCCCCCCCTTCTCCTGTACCCCACCTCCTCCTGCTCCCCCCCTCCTTCTGCCCACCACTCCTCCTGCCTGCCCCCTCCCCTCTCCCCTCCTGGAGGAGCTGCGCGAGGCGCAGCAGCAGCCGCAGGAGGCGCTGCAGCGGCGGCGGCAGCCGCAGGGCGCCGCGCCGGGCGCCCCGCCTTGCGACCAGCGCCTGGGGGGCATCGTGGAGGACCGCCGGGCCACGAACTTTCGGAGGAGGAGAGGGTTCTCCCCTTCGACGTCACGAGCGCTCGAGGCCTCCTGCGCGCCACGGCAGCGAGCGCTCGAGGCCTCAGCCCTCCTCCTCTTCCTCCTTTGACGCTGCTTGGCTCGACTAGCGGCGCCGTTGCATCTGCCTTCGGATGCAGGACGCCCGATGAGGAAGCATCTACCCCACAAAGCGGGATAACATATGTTGAGCATTGCAACCGCTTTGACTTGAGTTATACCTCTGCCTCCAGGGAAAGGAAAGTCAGATGAGGAAAATAGTCTGCTACCAATTGCGAACCCTACCCATGCGGATCCAGTCAGAGCGGGGGTCTCGGACATCCCGGTCGGAGCTTTTTGCTGGCTGCAGGCAACCTCTTCGAATCTTGCACCCTGGCACGCATCTCGAAAATGGGACCCGAAGGGGTGGGGTTCACAGGTGCACGCGCTGGTTGCCCAAAAGCTCCCTGATGCCAGTGCCCACCACCCTTTCCCTCGTGGGCGCTGTAGCGTATACCACGCAAACACCCACGCCAGATTTCCTGGTATTCGCTAAGGCCCCGGTGCCGTAGGTGGGGTGTTGCCGTTTGTTTTCTGGCCCCTCGTGTTCGTCTTCCTGGGCCTCCTGGAAGGCCCTCGCCGCCACGGCCCGCGTCGCCTCGAAACTCTGGTCGGAGCTGGGCATCCCGTGGCTTCACCAGAGCTGCTCTCGCCTGGGCCTGGGCTCGCCAGTGCCGGGGCGGCGCCGAGAAGATCTCTCAGGACTGGGCCCTGGGGCGGTCCAATAACGTCGAGAAACAACCAGGGCATACCCTCAAGTCGGGCCTGTCCCTCTACAGGAGGAATATTCATCAAAGGTAGTTTTAAACATGGTATGGGGACTATTTCAAGTATTTGTAATTTGTCCTTGAAGATCGGACTGTAGGGGGACAGGCCCGACGTAAGCATAGCCATTGATTCTATGAGCTCCGCGTAGATTTCCCGAACCGGCGCTCGACCAGTCCTGGCGGCGCCTCCGCCGCCCCTGGTGCGCTCCGCGCTCCGCGCGCCAGGGAGGGGGTCCAGGTGGACCTCCGAAAATTCATGTGTATGCAGTTGTCTGTTCTCCTACTACGTGCTCAAGGGACGGTGTTGGAGGTTCCAGTGTACAACCGCCTCGGCCTTCCCGAATTGAGTCATGAGGACCAGAGAGAGCGTTTGAGCTTATTGCGCAAGTATCCCGCATATTATCTTGATTGCGTACATACTAGAATCTTGAGCAAGGGCTTGTTGGTCGTAACGAGCTGTGCCCGCCTTCGACGTGGATTTCGCTCGAGGTATGCAATGCCATCGATCTCGTACCTGGCCCAGGCCACCCGAAGGGGGGGGGCCGACTCTGATCGCGTGTTGCGCAGTGGCCGAGGCCAGAGAGCCGCGATTCTCCAGAGGGGCGGCACGGCTTCGCGAAGGTGATCGCGTGGCGCGCAGCTCGAATCAGGGGCAACGGCAGGGGGGGGACGCATCGATCCCCAATCGCCCATTCATCGCCGATAGGAGCCCGATCGCCCACCCCGCCCAGGAGCGTGCGTATTCGCTATCGGGAACTATCGCCGATCTGTTGGTGATGCATCGCCCATTCCAGGCCGATTTCCCCCCCCCCCCCTCCCCTCTCATGAGCTGATTCCCCCCTCATGGAGCAGTGGCGGCGGATCATCGGGACACCCCTGGAGGACCAGACGCAGGCGTTGCCAGGGGCGCCCGGCGCGGAGGAAGAAGGCGCATCGTCGTCGTCGTCGTCGTGGTTTTCGTCGTCGTCGTCGTCGTCGTCGGTGCCGTCGTCGAGGTCGTCGTCGTCGTCGTCGTCGTCGTCGTCGTCGTCGTCGTCGTCTGAGGGTCTGTGCAGCAAAAGGTACCGATCCTCCTGCTCGTCCTGGAGAGTATCCTCGCCACAGCTGGTTTCTCGTCGCAATTCTGGTCCGAGCACACCCTAGGAGAGGTTCATGGAGCAGCGACATCGGCATCTGTTCTGTCCCGCAGGGGGGAGAAGGAAGGAGATCGGGTACGGGTGAGGCCCTGGTCTAAGGTAGAGCCTTGTCCAAGGAAGAAACGGCAGGCCACTCAGTCGCCCACCGTGCTCGTCGACAGCATGCTGGAAACCTCCAGCACCTGCGGCTTCTCGCAGTCCTTCCAAGGCGACTTCAAGACGTGCTGCGTTAACAAGGCTTTCCGATCATCGTCGCCCGTCAGCTGCCACATGGAACTCCACCTTCAGGCCGTGACAAACCTCATGCAGGCAGGCCCAGTCCCCCTTCGGGCCGTCTGGCTCCAACCTTCCTCGGCGGGCCCTCTGCTCCGCTCCACCTCCGCCGAATCCCGCTGCGCCAGGCATACAGCCTCCTCGAGCGCGTCGTCATCCCCCTTGCACTCGTCCAGTGTCTTTGCCTTCGTGGTATGTATGGCACATAGCTAAACAGATATACTATAATATATATATATATATATATACATATATGAGTGTGTATACATATGTGCATATACATCGTGAGGTATTACTATATGTATGTGTATACACACATGTATACACATATATATATATATATATATTCATTCAGTTGTATATGTATGCGTGTATGCATAAGTAGATGTCTACATATATATATATATATACATGCACTCTATGTGAGCAGTGTTGTTGTTGTTTCTTAGTTTCGGCCTCATCTGCTTCGCCGCCGCGTTGCTCTCCTGTGTGATAGCCTCCGCAGCGCCCACGGCCACCTCGGCCGCCACGTGTGCACGCACCTCAGCCGCCCGCTGTCTCACCAGCCAGCCTCGCATGCATCACTGCAGCGCGCTTGCCGCAGCCTCGTGCTCTGCCCGCTTCTGCAGCTCGGTCTGCTCCTTGGCCCGCTTTCTTGCGCGGAGGTCGGCCACCGGCGCTGCTGCACAGCGACCTCCATCTGCAGGCCGCGCCCGAAGGAGCCGCCTTGACCTGCACCGTTATCCACTCGGAGTTGCTGTTTTTGTCCATCATGGCCTACAGGATCCTGAGCATTCGCATGGACGCCCTGGCACGGCGTCTCCTGCTGCTTTCGCCCAGGGATCACCGGTGCCCCATCCTGCTGCTTCTGCACCGCGGGCGGCACCACCACCACAGAGCCCACCTCATCCGCGCGCTCGCCCTGGCACGGCGACTCATCCTGCGGTTCCTATTGACGTTGAGCGGGCTTCAATCGGCTCGGATCGCAGCGCCTGGATGATGGAAAGAAGTTGGCGTGGAAGAAAATACAATTGTGGCTCAGATGTCAACTAATAATTCTGCAAGCAAGTGAAGCGCATAGTAGGGCAATGAGAACTGCAGAAGTGAGACAAGTCCCGCGCAGACCAACACGCGCCACGACCACGACGACGAAGACAACGACGACAGAGACGAGGCAAGCAGACGATCCGCACCGAAGCACGCATTACGGACATGGGACGTGGCCAACCCTGCAGGTTAGGTTAATCAGCACATCGTGAAGCTGTGCTGTAGCCTCCCCTGAGCACGAGCCCCCCCTCAGTATCGGCCAGACATGTCGGGTTTGCACCCTCACGCCTTGCCAGAATTGTTTGTACCCGCTGATGGAGGATGATCCCACGCTCCAGAATCGTGCCTGGTGCCACCAAGGCACAGACCAGACCCCAGGCCGTCTTAGGCGTCCGCCGCAGCAACGCGCTGCCAGCCGCGGCCCGCTCCACCTCGAGGCGGGGGGGGATTTCCGAGATGGCGGTTTTTGCCAAAATGGCCTACGCAGAAGGAGGTGAACTCTTCCTGGGAAAGGCTCCAGGGTCCAGGACCACTTTCCCTCAGGACCCGCTTCCCCCGTGCTAAGAGGAGGGGAGACGACGCAGGGGAGGGGGGGAGGATGAGGGGGAGAGGGGGGGGCAGGATGAGGAAGGGGGCGGGGACAGGGAAGGGGAGGACCTCGAGTCGGGATGCGTTCCGTGCACCAAAAATGCTACGGAGAAGGAGGAGGGGTATGAGGGGGAGACGCAGGGGGAGGAGGAGGAGGAGGAGGAGGAGGAGGAGGAGGAGGAGGAGGAGGAGGAGGAGGAGGAGGAGGAGGAGGAGGAGGAGGAGAGGCTCGCGGGCCGTCCAGGTATGGCTTACGTGGGGGCGCCGGCAGGCGCCCAGTGTGTTCTAGCTATAAGCCGAACGGCCGGCTTTCGAAACAAGAAGGCCGCGGGGCACAGACGGGGTGAGAACGCAAGAGGTCGGGCAGGAGGGAGGCTAGTGGACGGGAGAAGGGAGAGGCCATGCGGGCTCCCGAAGGAGCTCCACAGACACGCAGGGACTCACAGCGCCCTCAAATAGGGTTCAATAGATGACCTCCTGGGAATCTCAGATCCGTCGTGATCTTCAACAGGCGTCTGGGATCCTCGATCTCCTCGAGGATCGAGGGTCGATCCTCGATCCTCGACGACGGCAGCGGGCAACGCTCTCCCCCCCCGCGGAGGCGGCTGCGGCGGGCCCTCGTCGAGCACCGCCAGGCCGCCGCGCCGCAGCCGCACCATGTGGAGCGACGTTCAGGATCGTTTGGGGCCCTGGACTTCTTCTGTCCCCCCTCCCTTGTCTAGGAAGGAGGAGGAGGAGGAGGGAGGAGGAGAAGGAGGAGGAGGAGAGCAGGAGAGCAGGAGGCACGAGCCGAGGCACAAACGACACCATGAACATAGACCCTCGTAGCTGCGCTGAAAGTTCATTTTCATGCAGGTGTTGGTTCGTCTAGAAACAAGCACCCCTCCCCCACAAAGGGGACGCCGATGGGAAGAAGACGAGAACGGGAGGATCCGCAGTACTACCCAACGCAGCAGACGCCCATGAGGGTCTCCCCAGGACACAAGGCCCACACGGGCCCGACCGAGCACAAATGACCAGGATTTCAAGGCGAATCCAGCAACCTTCCTGACCACGCACCAGGCCTCAGGCGGCGCCCGCTTGACTCTGACAGGTGAAAGGAGACTCAGACGTACGAAAACTACGACCACGACGACCACGACAATGACAACGACGAGCTGATGACCCTGCCACAGGCTCGGGACATGGGACGGGTGGGGGAGGGAGGAGGGGGAGAAGGAGGAGGAATACTAGGAGGAGAAAGAGGAGGAGAAGGAGGAGAAGGATAAGGAGAAGGATAAGGAGGATGAGGAGGCGGAGGAGGAGGGGGAGGAGGAGGAGGAGGACCAGTGTAAATCCAAGAGTCATCAACGATGTCGGAATAAACCATCCCTCCAGACTCCCTCTTCATAGGCCCCTACAGAGGTTCATTCCCATTGAGACAACTGCCTCGTTGGAGGACAACCCTTTGAAGACCCTGAAGCATGCCAAAACATGGTTCTCGGGATTCCAACGCCACGGAGCAACCTGACTGTTACGTCTTGACGATCCTGAATCGCGCGCGAACACCATTCCCGGGATTTCAGCACGGCTGATCAACGTTACCGTTGCACCTTCAGAATCCTGAATCCTCCCAAAACACTATGTCAGGTACGCTGAGCATGGGAACCCGTGAAACTCGCAAATGTTTTAAGCGAATGTGCGCGGCGATCAGGCGAGAGCCACATTTTGAAAAGGAACCGCCTTCCATATGTGAAACTGTTGCCAATCTTTAAGCTTCAGGGTCATACATGGTGTGGAAGTCTCAGGCGAAACGCCCAGCCCGCACTAAAAATGTGACCACGGCCGGGGCGGGGGCCAGGGCTGGGGCGGGAGCAAGGGCCGAGGTGGGGGGGGGGGTCCTGAGCTCCCCTGCCGTCACGGAGACCACCCCCTGTCTCCCTTCTCCACAGGGCGGGCCGCCTGGGGGTGGGGGGGTCACGATCCCGAGGGCCCCCCCCAGGACCCCCCCGCGGGACCACCCTCCAGGACCCCACCCCTCCCGGCAGGGAAGGGACAACATGAAGGGGCTTCCTTTCGACGCAATTGCGACATTGTTCGATCCCCCGTGTTTGCTAGATCCCCCTTACGACGACGACGACGATTCAAACGAGGGTGGCGTACTTTAGTTTAGGTTTTCTTACCTCGCGTCGAAGAACCTCTCCCAAACGTCGACTGGGTCGGGGGTATATTGTCGCACCTTGATGTTTGCGTTCACCAATTCTTTTTTGGCAGCTTGCACGCGGCCTGACAAGTCTTCCAAAGCGGGCGTGGCGATGGTTGACTCTGTGGCACGAGCAGTGATGGTCTCGGCCTCCAGGACCTTGAGCCGCTCCAGCTCTGCAAGAAGCCATCAACTGCAACGCTGTCCGTCCTATCTCTGACACAAATGCCACCTTGTTCTTTGCAGCCTGCACGCACTCTGGACCAGGTATGGGTCATAGCTTGCGCAAGGTCTGGAGGCTCTGTCTGACACTGAGACTCATACTGGGACTCATGTTTGTCGACCATGAGGGCGGGATGAACCTTAGATCCCGACGGACTGAACCAGTTGGAAAGGATGCGAGGCCCACAGAGCTAATGCTCGTTCCCTCTGGCGCAGGGTCATCCTTGGATCCCTGGATCACGTCGCCGTCACAACCGTCCTCGGATCCCTTGCTGACCGCGCCAGCTGATGCACCAGCTTGAAGCAAGGCGAGGCCCGCAGGCTGCTTGTCCTTGCCCCCCTCCATCGCCAAGTCGTCCTCGGGCCCCCTGAACTCGGAACCAGACTGCTGGTGTACAGGATGCTGCCGAGGCTGTCGATGCTTCCGATCTGACTCCAGAGATGCACGACTTTGTATCTTGCACCTCGGTTGCTGTCATGGTGTCCTTCGCGTTCACAAGGTGGTGCTGGTGGTACCGATTGGGAATCGAGCCAGAGGCAAATCTCACTGCAATTATCTTTGTGCAAGTGGCCTCGATCAGCAGTGACTGCCATGGGTGTTCTGGGTGATGCAACATTAGGCGACCAGGAGTAGAGAACGAGAGACCATCGAGGTACTGCCGCGGGACTGGTATATCCTGCCGCGGGATTGCTGCGTCCTGATGTTTGCTTTGGCTTGCACATGGTCGGCGGTGCACCCGACCGTGACGTGCGCAGGCGCTCTTTTCACGATGAGATCTCGCGCCAAAGCAAGACGAGCTGAAGCAACCACTGCGAGCCCAACTGTTACTGCTGCACGGGTGATTTCAGCGCAGGTGCGTTGTGAAATCCTCGCAAACGAGCACGTGCCTGAGCGATGGCTGGCCTGAGCCAGTGAGGCTTCTCCTCCTCCTCCTCCTCCTCCTCCTCCTCATCATCATCGTCATCATCATCATCATCATCATCATCATCATCATCATCATCATCATCATCATCATCCCCCTTCTTCTTCTTCTTCTCCACTGTTCCCCATGATCCTACTTCTTTTCCTCCTCCTTCCATTCATCCAGGCATGTGGCGATATCGGACAGCATCGAGGCGGCTGGTGTCTCCTGATTCTCCGGCATCGGGAGGCCGTCATCGAGGGGCGGTCAACAAGCGATTCGGAGTGAAAAACAGCCCCCTGGGAAAGGAGTCGAGTGGTCCAAGGGCACACGTCACGAGCATCGTCTAACACATCTCCATCTCCATCGGGCCCTGCTATCTCAGCGCACCCCCGTATTGGGACAGGTCTCGCCAAACTCGAAGGAGCAGTACATGCATATATCTCGGTATGCCGGAGGGGATGGGGATCGGTTGAACGATGTTCATATGTTTCGAACATAATTGAGCCGTCGGATGGATGGCTTCTTCCTCCACCCCCACCGCTCCTCGTGGATCGGCCACCAGTGGCTCGTTTCGGGCCTTCGGACCTTCAGGTACCGATCCGTCGATCCAGAAACATATTATTCAGGATGAACGTTTGGAGGGTTCCAGCGACCTTTTCCCGGAAAGGGCACAGGCCCAGGGTTCTCTTTTAGGGGTTTGCCCCCGGATCTGACGGCTGTAGGGCCAGCGGATTTTTTTTTGCGATAAATATCAAGGTCGCGTAGGGCCGGCGAATTAAAATTGGAGGATGTCCCTAGCGAAACGCTAGTTCTTCATAATTTAGTGAGGATGTCTCGAGCGAAACGCTTGTTTTGTGCTATAGATTGTCCTCTCGGTCCTGGGGGCCTGAATTCAGAAGATCTCTCAAGTGAAGTGCTTGTTTTCACGTGCCCTGGTCTTGAGGATGTCTCGAGCGAGACGCTCGGTTTCACGCCTCCAGGTTGCCCAGACAGATGTCTAGCATGAGGATTTGTTGAGGATGTCTCGAGCGAGACGCTTGCTTCCACGCGTCCTCGTCGACCAGGCGGATGTCTAGCATGAAGATGTGTCGAGAAAGTCTCGATCGAGACGCTTGTTTGCACGTGTCCAGGTTGCCCAGGCGGATGTCTAGCATGAGGATGTGATGAGAACGTCGTGAGCGCAACGCGTGTTTTCACGTGTCCAGGTCGCCCAGGCACAGCACAGCCCTCGGCGCGGTACATCAATATCGATACCCTTAGCATTGCAGCCTGGCATGTTGCCTGGCACGTTCCGTGGGGCGTCCCGTGGCGAGTCCCCCTGGCACTTCGCGCGGTGCACGTCCATTGGCACGTTCCGTAGCGCGTCCCCTTGGCATGTCCCGTGGTGCGTGCCCATTGCACGTCCCCTGGCACGTCGCCTGGCGCGTTTTTTGGTACGTTCTGCGGAGCGTCCTCCTGGCATGCCCCCCTGTCGAATTGTTCAGGGGCAGCTACCATGTGCTCAGGCAGCTCGAGCTTACGATCCATATCAGTTCGGTCAGGACTCGGATGCAAAGAGGACTCGATCCACAACGCTATATGAGCAACATCGCGGCATGGCACATCGCAGTTCAGCACGGCCCAGCACAGCACAGCCCTCGGCACGGTACATCAAGATCGATACACTCAACATTGCACCTTGGCACGTTCCTTGGCACGTTCCGTGGCGAGTCCACCTGGCACGTCGCGCGGCGCGTCTCCCTGCACGTCCCGCGGCACGTCCATAGCGCGTCCCCTTGGCACGTCCCGCGGTGCGTCCCCATGGCACGTCCCCTGGCACGTCGCCTGGCGCGTCCCTTGGGACGTTCCGCGGCGCGTCCTCCTGGCATGTCCCTTCTGTCGAATAGTTCTGGGGCAGTCTGCTGAGGCAGCTCGAGCTTACGATCCAGATCAGTTCGGTCATGATTCGGATACCAGGGAGGACTCGATCCACAACGCTATATATATGTATAGAGAGCACCATCGCGGCATGGCACATCGCAGTTCAGCACGGCGTAGCATCGCACAGCCCTCGGCACATTAAATCAAGATCGATACATTCAGCAGTGCATTTGCCTGTCGCCCAATCAGGTGTCTTTGAAACGTTGTCATGCCTTACAGTTTTATATTCCTTTCCGGGTTCGTGGGTCGATCATGTGTGATGATGAAATGGTGGTGGTGATGGTCACGACGATGGTGACGGTGATAATGATGAGGTTGTCGATGATGATGATGTTGATGTGGATGATGACGGTGAAGATCATGCCCATGATGTATCGTAGTGTTCGTAGTGTTGCTGTTGCGGATGTGTTGTTGTTGTTGTTGTTGTTGTTGTTGGTGGTGGTGTTGTTGTTGTTGGTTGTTGGTTGTTGGTTGATGATGCTGTTGTTGTTGTTGTTGTTGTTGTTGTTGTTGTTGTTGTTGTGAACGTTGATGTTGGTGATGTTGTTGCTGCTGTTGTTGTAAAATTTGTTGCCGTGGTACGTGGTGGTGATGACGATGCATACGCTGACGATGACGATGATGACGATGAATAACCGCATGCCGATGATAATAAAGGGACCCTCCCCTTCAGTGTTTAGAGTTGATTATCGTCGCCCTATACAAAATTCAAATTGGGCGGCGAGCGCTGAGGCCGAACTTCATTATCACCTCGAAACGCTATGTTGAGATAGCAACATCAAGCGATGTTGATATAGCAACATCAAGCGAAGCGATCACACTTTTTCAGGATGTGTCAAGCGAAACCAATAATTTTGGGAGGCAGACTCAAACGAAACGAGCAATGTTCTTATTGTTCTTCTACTTTCCTCTTCTTCTTTTATATTTCTATCTGTCCTCACGCTCGCCTGAACTTTTTTATCCCTGGGGTTGATTATCCATGGAAAATGAAGCACATGAGCTACCCTACACGAACACTTAAACCATTCAATTTTCATAAAGCGTTTGTACATTAAAATTGATAGATTTGGAACTTTGGATTGTTCCTTTCTTCGTCCTCTTCTTATTCTCCTCTTCTTCTTCTTTCTTATTATTCTTCTACTGTATTCTTCTTCTTTTATATTTCTCTCTGTCCCCACGCTCGCCTGAACTGTTTTACCTCTGGGGTTGATTATCCATGGAAACTGAGGCACATGAGCTACCCTACACGAGCACTTACAAAAAACAATTTTCATGAGAGATAAGCCATTGTTGAGGATATTTCTATGAAAGCTAAACGCCAAGGATGTCTCAACACGTGCTCGGCTTGGTCTCCTCTTGATCATCTCTTACTTCGAGATTCTGCTGAGGTCTGTTGGGCTACTTTTATTATCTCTCCCTGAACCCCGAACTTTATTATCCCCTAGTGTTTATTCTCACGGGCATGAGGTTATAATGATGATGATGATGATGATGATGATGATGATGATGATGATGAAAAGGATGATGTTGATGATGATGATTATGACGATGCTGAACATGGTGATCATGATGGGATGGTGATGATGATGCTGATGCTGATGATGCTGATGCTGATGGTGCTAAGCATGTCTGTAATGGTTGTGGATACGATGGTGGGAATTGCGACGACGATGTTGATGATGGCGGCGATGATGATGAGGATGGTGGAGATGATGATGATCCAGTGCCCTTCCGCCCATTCCGCTATTGTTCCTGGGTCTTGTACCAGCGGTCTCTCAGAGGCTCCTTGGGGTCTCGAGGCCTCTTCGGGGCATCTTGGGAGCTCCTTGAGGTCTCCGATGATTATTGGGGTCTCGTATATGCAAGCTAGTGGTCTCGGGGGCGACGTTGTGGGCAGGGCTCATGGGGACCCCTCGAGTCATCCCTTTCGCCGGATCTTGAGGCCGTCCTTGGGGCCTCTGGGAACTCTCTTGGGGGCGGGGGCCTTGGGGGGCATCTCATGGCGACCGTGGGAGCTTCCAGGGCCTTCATACGCCTCAGGCCAAACAGATGAGCACGGCACATTTCATACGGCAATTTCAGGAGGCTCAGTTGTTATAACATATTTGACCACAGGCTCCAAGAAGGCCCAACCCCCCCTGGAGCCCCAACACGGGCCCGGGTGGCAACTTGGATGTATGGAGAACGGCGCGTCTAGGGCGCCGTGGGGATAACCACGCGACAATCCTCTCGTTCGCTCGGAGGCCATGAGGGCGCACAATAGATTTTCTGAGTTCGGGATCTGGGGCCCTGCAGAGCGTGTAAATCATCACTACTGACGGCTCCCGGATACCTGGGTAGTGTCCACTGGGCTGTGAAGGTGGCAGGTTATGAGGGCGACACATATGATAGTCATTGGTATTGGTATGGTGACGGTGCTGATGATGTGGGTGGTTGTGCCATTTGTGGTGCAGATGACGATGATTACGACGACGACGAAATCAGCGGCGCCGATGGTATGATGATGGTGATGTTCAAGTGTATATATAGAGGATGTTGATGATGTTGTTGCTGATGATGCATCTGTTGATGCTGATGCTGATGATGCTGCTGATGCTGCTGATGATGCTGGTCCTGATGACGAGGCTGGTGATGAGTATGATGAGGCTCATTCTTGCGCTGTCTACGCAGTGTCCCCGTGGTATGCCTGTCCCCTCCGAGGACTCCAGTGGGAGCGCCGACCAGGACGGCTCTCAGGACCCGGGAACGTAGCGCCCTGGAAAGGATGAGAAGGTGTAGGATGAGGATGGCTGATGTAGGAGGATGGAGAGGAGCGAGGAGAGAAGATTGATGAAGGGGAGAACTACGGGGCGACGATGGCGATGACGATGCTGGTGGTGGAGAAGGAGAAGGTGGTCGTGAAGGAGGAGGTTGGGTGAGGACAAGGAGGGGGAGGATAATAAGCATGGACGACGAGGAATGGTGGGGATGTACTTGGAGACACCAGGAAGTAGAAAGGAGGCGGGATGTGGTAGGATAGAGGGAGTACTCATGAGGCAGGACGGCGGATTGGGGCGTGGGGAGGAAGTCTGAGGCAGGGGTTGGAGATGAATTCACACGATCCTGTGCGCCTCGAGTTTCTGGGGAAGGGGGCCCGAAACTCCAAGCGGCGGTGGATATAGACACAAGTGTTGCCCACACACGAGGAGGAGGAGGACGAGGACGACGACGAAGAGTACGAGAAGGGATACGGTGGCGGACGCATGTGCCCCCGTCGCTTGATTGCGTCAGGAGTCGGGGATGTGTTGGAAGCCCTCTTGCTTCCAACGAAGGAGGAGGTGTGTGTGGGAGGAAGGGGAGGGGATGACGAGGACGTGGACAAGGGGGCAAGGAAAGGAGAAGGAGGAGGAGGAAGAGGGGGAGGAGGAGGGGGAGGAGGGGAGGAGGAGGAGGAGGAAGAGGAGGAGGAGGAGGAGGAGGAGGAGAAGGAGAAGGAGAAGGAGGAGGAGGAGGACGGCAGAGGGGGAGGGATGGAGCAAGGAGGCCGCGGACGTGGACGAGGGCAGAGGAGGAGGAGGGGAGGGAGAGAGGGATGGAGGGAGGGTGACGAGGACATGGACGTGGTGTGAGGAGGGGCTGCGCGGAGGCCTCGAGCGGCAGCTGCCCTCGCGCCCAGAGCTCGAACGCCGTGTACCACGGGCAGGACGGCGGCCTCCCCTCCTCTCCCACTGCCCCTCACTCCCTCGATGTCCCTCCCTCTGGCCTCCATCCCTCCCTCTCCCCTTCTCCCCCCTCCCTCCCCCTTCCCCCCCACCTACATCTCACAAGCCCATGCGGCCCAAGGCGCGTAGACCCCTTTTGGCTCGAAGGCTCGATGTTGTTTTTTCTTGGTATACTGCAGGTTTGGGCACATGCGCACGTACTGGAGAGTCCACCATCGCATGTTTGCCCGGTGGATCTGCAATGGGTTACCCTTGGTTTAAATGGTGGGGGATCTTTGTCCCTCCCTCCGAACGGCGTTTTCACATATACATATATGTATGTATGTATATGTATGTGTATAAATATGTGTGTATATATGTGTATGTATATATATATATATATGTGTATTTATGTATATGAAAACATACATACATACATATCTCGGAGTAGACGGGGGGGGACTCGGGCCAGTGCCGTACCCCATAAGGGGGGATTGGGGGGGTCCCAGGGATCCTGGGACTGCCCAGGCCCGCTCCCAAACACGCCACGACACGCCAAGGCTCCCAAGAAAGCCCAGAGACGGACCAGGAGGCTCCCCAGATGATAATTCAAGAGGGCCTCGAGAGCGCCCCAAGAGAGCCCCAAGAGCGACCCAAGAGGGCCCGAAGAGCGCGACATTTCAAGGTCTCCGGCCTGAGAGGCTCCTAGGACGCCCCTGGAGGCCATCAAGAGGCTCCCAAGAAGCCCCGTGAGGTTCCCAAGTGGCCCCCCGGAAGCCCCAATAGGCCCCCAAGGGGCCCCCAGGGAGGCCCTCTGCGGGCCCCCAACAGACCTCGGTAAATCGTATTTCCCAGACAGCTTTCCGGGAAGATGATTCCTTGGGTTTCCGCCCACCATCGTCTTGGGGCGGTTTTGGGGCGGTCTTGCCGGCCCCTGGGGCCGTCTTGGAGCGCCAGAAGGTAGAAAAAACTACAATGCAACAAGCATCGAAAACCAATTGGAAATCAATACGTGTGTTTCGTTGGCCTTTCATGGGGTCCTCTTCGCGCGCTCTTTGTCGGGGGCGGAAAAGAGGGGGGTGATGACTAGGGGGGGTGGATATCATGGCGGGGGCCATGATATTTCCTCAGATTTCATGGCGCCTCTTCTTGTTTCATTACGTCCCTGGCCCCCCCGCTGGGCCGCGCACATGCCGCCGGTCATGATTTGCACCCCCCCCTCTTGGACACCCCCCTCTTGGCCGCTCCCGACTTTGGGCTTCTTTGGAACCTCTTGGGCCGTCTTGGAGGCATCATGAGTCATCTTGGCGGCTGAGGAGGCCTCCCAGGTCCGTCTGGGAAGCCATGTTGGGCACTTAAGGCGCTTTCACGAGCGCCGAGACATGTCTGGGCGCCAACAGAGCCTCGAGAACAGGAGGCGATTCACGCAGGGAGTCGCACACAGGAGAGCGGAGGGCCCATTAGCAGATTACAGAAGCCATACCAAACGGCACTTGGCATTCTACCACGGCTGAACGTGCCAGCGATTGTTCCGCGCCGTTTGGGAAGGCTTCGAATCAAGAGTTGTATGGTACAGTCTAACCTTGTGCGTGGGCTTCGCAGTACCCGCCCGAACATCAACTATACGTCAACGGGACAACTCGCTTAGATATTGAAGCCGTGTCCAGAATCGACAAGAACCTAAACGCGCGCGAAGCGCGCGCGTGGTTCGAGGACACAGAGGGGGAACACGAACCGTCATCTCGAGCCCTCGCCAAACAGAGGACTCAAGAAGCCCCCAGGATTCCCCAAGAGGCCCTCCAGAGGCCCCCGGGAAGCCCCAAGAGGCTTTCAAGAGGCCCCCAGGAGACTCCCAAGAGGCCCCAAGAGGCAACCACGAAGTACCCAAGAGCCCCCCTAGAGCTCTCCAAGAGGCCTCCGAACAACTTCCACCACCCATATCCGAACAGGCATCCAGCAGGCCACTGGCCATCACCCAGGCATGGCGGCATCAGGTCCACAACCCCAGTTGCCAAGACGCTCGGTCCTGGGGAGGGATGCTGAGGGCGAGGACGACGATGGCGATGACGATGATGGCGATGACGATGACGATGGTGATGATGACGACGATGAAGATGATTCTAATGATGATGACGATGATGACGATGATGATGGTTATGCGGGTGACGATAATGACGATGATGACGATTGCGTTGATGACGACGGTGATGACGATGGTGGTGTTGTTGATGGTGGTGGTGATGGTAATGATGATGATGTCGATGACGATGACATTGACGATGAAGATGATGGCGATGAGGACGGCGATGCTGACGATTACGAGGGTCCTAGCTAGAACTTGAGCGCGCGCGAAGCGCGCGCGATGGTTCTAGTGTGTGTGTGTATGTATATATATATAGAGAGATATATATATATATGTGTGTATTGGAGTTTGGTGATAATCCTGTCGCGCATATCTGTTGGCATGGACAAAAAGGCTTAGCATATTAGCCAGCATCGATTGATGGAGATAGCCATTCAGGAAAACTACACACCGCGCCATCAGGCATCTAGACGGACGGAAAGGCGGCGGGCCCCCCCCGGGCACGTATTCATTTACAGTGCCACAGTGAGCGTCATTCGAGTGCTTGGGCTACAACGCTTTCCCGCGCGTGAGAGATAGGCAGGCAGTCGCAGTGCGTGGTCTTGTTGAGGGGCTAGGTTGGGAGGCGAAACATGCGCTTACCGTCATCCGCTACACTGGTTGGAGCATTATGTGCGGGAAAGGCGGGCAAGGTTTCTTGTAGTCCAGATTGTATACGCGTTTCTCTGAACGAGTGGCGCCATGCATCGTGCTTGGCTGTGTTGTACTCGTACATGTACGGCTGGCAGGAAGGAAAAACAAGCAGTTTGGGATGCATGGTGGTGTGCGCGTGCCTGATGACGGGGAATCTCAGCCTTGTAAAGAGTGTGGCTGCGGGGGGGCGTCTTCCTGTCCCTGCGCAGTGTGGTTCCTGCTGCTTGGAGGTGCTCACTTGAGGTACCTGCAGTGTTCCTCAAACGTTCTGCTTTATAACCTGCGTGGGCGGATGGCGTGCTACTTTTCCCGGAAAGGGCGGGGGCCCAGGGTTCTCTTTTAGTGGGTAAACCTGTCCCCCGGTGCCAACTTGAAGGAGGCCGGCGGATTTTTTCCCTGATAAATATCGAGGTCGAAGGAGGCCGGCAGATTAAAATTTGAGGATGTCTCGAGCGAAACGCTTGTTTTTGAAATCCCGATCGATAAATCACAGGGTGCGGGCCACCTCACACGCCCCACACACATCCCAGCACGACCACACCCCAGCACGCACGCACGACCACACCCAGCACGACCACACCCCAGCACGACCACACCCCAGCACGACCACACCCCAGCACGCACGACCACACCCCAGCACGACCACACCCCAGCACGACCCCACCCGCACGACCACCCCAGCACGACCACACCCCAGCACGACCCACCCCAGCACGACCCCACCCCAGCACGACCCCACCCAGCACGACCTAGCACGACCACACCCCAGCACGACCCACCCCAGCACGACCCACCCCAGCACGACCACACCCCAGCACGCACCCCAGCACGACCCCACCACAGCACGACCACCCCCCAGCACGACCACACCCCAGCACGACCACACCCCAGCACGACCCCACCCCAGCAAGACCACACCCCAGCACGACCACACCCCAGCACGACCTCACCACAGCACGACCACACCCCAGCACGACCACGCCCCAGCACGACCACGCCCCAGCACGACCACGCCCCAGCACGACCACCCCCCAGCACGACCACCCCCCTAGCACGACCACCCCCCAGCACGACCACCCCCCAGCACGACCACACCCCAGCACGACCACACCCCAACACGACCATACTCCAGCACGACCACACCCCAGCACGACCACACCCAGTCGCACCCCCGTGGAATGTTTCGTGGGGTGTCTGGTTGAGTGGTTGCCTGTTCGTGGGGTGTCTCGTGGAATGTTTCACGGGGTGTCTCGTGGAATGTTTCGTGAGGTGTCTCGTGGGTTGTTTCGTGAGGTGTCTCCTGGGATGTTTCGCGGGGTGTCTCGTGGGATGTTTCGTGAGGTGTCGCCCAGTTGGATATCGTGAAAACGTGACCATGCTGCACATGTCTATATCCCTTTCCGGGTTCGTGGGTCCATCATGTTTCCTGTTGGTCGCGCCGCCGGGCAATGTCAGGGGGGGGGCATACGATGTGTGTCGCCACGCGATGGCGGCATCCCTAGAAGCCCACCTCCTCCCTCCTCCCCTCCTCCCCCACTTCTCCCCCCCCCATCCTCGCCCCCCCCCTCTCCCCCCCTTGCCTCCTTCGCTCCCTTCCCTCCCCCTTCCCTCCTGCTTCCGATCCGGCGCTGCAGGACGGCCCGCGACGCCCCCGAGAGGGCCCCCGCCCCCCCAGATGGCCCACGAGGGCCCCAGCAAGCCACTCTCTCAAACATGCCGCGGCCGCCCACGCTAGAGCGGCAGAGTTCTCGGGCCTGCTCAGAACGGGGGAGCCGCGGACGAGGGAAAAGGGGTGCGACGCGATGCTTCCCTCCCCATCCCTCCTTGTCCTCGCGAGACTCCTGCTGCCCTGTCTCGTGGCTCGCGTGGCGAGGCGCGTTCTTGCTTTGGATATTTGGTGATCTCAACTGTTCTGGGGGGGGGGGGGGGTCGAGGACCTTCGAATCTCTGTTTCTTTCTCTCTCTCTCTCTCTCTCTCTTTTTCCTCCCTCTCAGCGCTTTCGCTTGTTCTCTCTTTTTTTTGTTTCTCTCTCTCTCTCTCTCTATCTCTCTCTTTCGTTTCTCTCTCTCTCTCTCTCTTTCTCTCCTTTCCCCCTCCCTCCTCATGCCTTCCTCCTCTTCCTCTCCTTCCTCGTCCTCCTCCTCCTCCTACTCCCCTTCCAGTCGTCTCCCTTCCTCTGTGCTCACTGCGCTAGTGCCCTTCATCCACTTCGACCTTGCTCGCTAACCCGTTTTCTTCGGACCAGTTGAAGTGAAGAGCACAGTCCGTATCCGAGTCCAAAGAAAGTAAGAGTATCTGTTCTTTCCCTCCTCCTTGCCTTTCCTAGTCCTCACCAATCGCTTGTTCCCGGAAAGGGCGGGGGCCCAGGGTTCTCTTTTAGTGGGTAAACCTGTCCCCCGGTGCCAACTTGAAGGAGGCCGGCGGATTTTTTCCCTGATAAATATCGAGGCCGAAGGAGGCCGGCAGATTAAAATTTGAGGATGTCTCGAGCGAAACGCTTGTTTTTCAGAATTTGTTGAGGATGTCTCGAGCGAAACGCTGGTTTTGCAGAGTTGGGGATGTCTCGAGCGAAACGCTTGGTTTCAGAATTTGTTGAGGATGTCTCGAGCGAAACGCTGGTTTTGCAGAGCCGACCGCGACACGGAAAAGCGCTCCTCGCGCAGGAATTTCGAGGATGTCTCGACTAATTCGTTTGTTATTCTAGGATTTCGCTGAATTTCGGAAAGATGTCTCGAGCGAAATGCACGACCCCACCGTAGCACGACCACACCCCAGCACGACCACACCCCAGCACGACCACGCCCCAGCACGACCCCACCCCAGCACGACCACACCCCAGCACGACCACACCCCAGCACGACGCCACCCCAGCACGACCCCACCCCAGCAAGACCACACCCCAACACGACCACACCCCAGCACGACCTCACCACAGCACGACCTCACCCCAGCACGACCACGCCCCAGCACGACCACGCCCCAGCACGACCACGCCCCAGCACGACCACGCCCCAGCACGACCACACCCCAGCACGACCACCCCCAGCACGCACGACCACACCCCAGCACGACCACCCCCACGACCACCCCCAGCACGACCACACCCCAGCACGACCACACCCCAGCACGAGCACGAGCACACCACCCCAGCACGACCCCAGCAGCACGACCACAGCCCACACCCCAGCACGACCACACCCCAGCACGACCTCACCCCAGCACGACCACACGCCCCAGCACGACCACGCCCCAGCACGACACGCCCCAGCACGACTACTCCCCAGCACGACCACTCCCCAGCACGACCACACCCCAGCACGACCACACCCAAGCACGACCACACCCAGTCGCACCCCCGTGGAATGTTTCGTGGTGTGTCTGGTTGAGTGGTTGCCTGTTCACGGGGTGTCTCGTGGAATGTTTCACGGGGTGTCTCGTGGAATGTTTCGTGAGGTGTCTCGTGGAATGTTTCGTGAGGTGTCTCGTGGGATGTTTCGCGGGGTGTCTCGTGGGATGTTTCGTGGGGTGTCGCCCAGTTGGGTATCGTGAAAACGTGACCATGCTGCACATGTCTATATCCCTTTCCGGGTTCGTGGGTCCATCATGTTTTTCTCCAGTCATTCCTCTCCCCTCTTTTTGCAAGCTTTCCCGTTCTGAGCGATGTGCTGATCAAGCATTCTAGGCTAGTCCTCCTCCCTCTTGCCCTCCAAGGGAAGAGGATGAGGAGAGAGATGAATGAGAGGAGTACCTGAAGCTCCCATATCCCTCCACCAGGCTTGACAGCTAGTGCAATCCAGCCAAAGTCGTCCTTTTCCTACCACGTCCTCCTTCCTCATTGGTTCCTCTTCCCTACTCCCCGCTCCTCCCTCATCTCTTCGTCCCATCCTGCGTTGTTCATCATTCCCCTCCTGTCCCCTCCTCCCCTATCAGTCCGCTCTTCGTCCTCGCGTTCGTCGTTTTCTTTCTCGTTTGTGCCTCCTTGGTGTTCTCGTGCGCGCGCCGAATGCACCGCTGACAGCTCCGCATCCTCCCGACCCAGCGCTCCGCCGGCAGGACGGCAGCGACTCCTCCCAGGGCTCCGTGGAAGGTGGTTCGCAGGAGCCCTGCGCACGCTGTCGGGGAACACACAATGACATAAACATAAGACTCGCAGGTCCGCGCAGATTTCTCGGATCGGCTCTGGAGCTCCTGGGGCGCTCCGCGCACCAGTGAGCGGAGTCCAACGCCGATCCGAGAACGCTAAACGGATCTCATAATTCTCATGATTGTGTCATCGTTTGTTCCACTACGCTGGAGTCCCCAGTGTCAGCTTGTGATTAACAAATGATGCCCCCCCTGGGGCTGATGAGTAGACTATGCGGGACGCGAAACTATTTGTTCAATTCTCGCGCGCCCGGTGGTCGTCGCGGGCTCCGCCGAGGGGATCGTGTACACCCCTGCGCGGCAGCCTCGAAACGATTGCCTTACGTACAGAGGTTGTTATAGGTATCGTATACATCCGAGGCGACGTTTTTCTCTCAGGCCGATTTCTGACGTGCCCCAGTCATCGTCGTCGCGAAACACAAATGGGCGCCGAACGCTCAACAGGGTGCCGAAATCTAAAGGAGCGCCGAAAACCCAAGGGGCGCAGCCGATCAAACGAGCGCCGATATCGAAAGGGGCGCCGAAACCAACAGGGCGCCGAACACCAAACGGGCGTTGAAACCCAACGCGGCGCCGCCCTGAAAACCAAAGGGGCGCCGAAAACCAACGTGGCGCCAACCACAGGGGCGCCGAAATCCAAAAGGGCGCCGAACATCAGCAAAGCGCCGAAAACCAAACGAGCGCCGAAAACGACAACGGGAGCCAAACATCAAACGGGCAACGACAACCAAAGTGGCGCCAAGAAATCAAAGGGTGCCGAACACCAAAAGAGAGCCGAACACCAAAGGGGCTTTTACAACCAAAGGGGCGTCGACAACCAAAGGACGCCGACAACCAAAGGGGCGCCACCATCAGGGCGCCGAATGCCAAAAGGGCGCCCAAAAGGGCGCCGGAAGCCAAAGAGGCGCCGATCACAAAAAGGGCGCCGAAAGCCAAAGATGCGCTGACAACCAAAGGGGCGCCGAAAACGGGAGCGGCGCCGACAACTAAAAGGGCGCCGAAAACCAGAGGTACGCCGCAAACCAAAGGGCCGTCGAAAGCCAAAGGGCCGCCGAAAGCCAAAGGGCCGCCGACAACCAATGAGGCACCGACAACAAAAAGGGCTTCGAACCAAGGGGCGCCGAACACCAAGGGGGGCCGAAAACGAAAACGGCGCCGAAAACCAAAAGAGCACCGAAAACCAAATTAGCGCCGAAAACCAAGGGGGGGCGAAAACCAAAGGTGCGCTGACAACCAAACGGGTGCCGAAATTCAAAATGGCGGGCGCTTACAACAGAGCCGAAAACCAAAACAGCGCCGTGAACCAATAGGGCTTCGAATACCACAAGGACGCTGGAAACCAAAGGGGCGCCGAAAACAAAACGGGCATCGAAAAAACTAAATTGCGCCGAAAATCAAAAGAGCGCCGAAAACCGAATGAGCGCCGAAACCCAGAACAGCTCCGAAAACCAACAGGGCGCCGAACACCAAAGGTGCGCCGCAAACCAACCAAAAGGGCGCCGAACTCCAGAGGTGCGCCGCACCCCAAAGCGAGCCCCGAAAACCAGATGGGCAACGGCAGCCATAAGGAGACCGAAACCCCAAATGGTACCGAGAGCCCAAGGAGCGCCGTAACACCCTAATTATTCCTAAGACCCCCCGCCCTAATATGCTAACCCCAAATCCTTATTCCTAAGTCCCGAATCTTGAAATTGGTGCCGGAGCCTCGCTGCTTTTGGAAAGATAAGGCCAGGCTGATCATCAGCTACAAGAAAAAGCCGGGGGGGTAGCTTCGAAGCCCCCCCCCTTCAGCCAGAGCTATCCCAAATTGAAATTCTGACAGACCGACGGGAGGGGGGGTAGCTTCGGAAGCCCCCCTCCTCCTTTGGAAAGCGGAGCCCAGGACTACCCCGGCCCCGGAAAGAAGGCCAGTTTCGGGCCCCCCCTTCTCTCATTCCCGGCCCTGCGTGCGCGCTTGTTCATACGTTACCTCCTGGCCGTCATGTTACGTAGCGCACTGCAGGATGAGGATTAAGACATGCCCAGTGAGGACCGTCACGCAGCAGCGCCGCTTTGAGAGACGATTCGTAAACCTGGTTCCAGTCATGCTCCGGGGCGCCGTCGTCGCTCAGATTTGTTGATCGCCCTCTTCAATATCTGTCTCCGTGGCCCTCAACTATATTTCGAATAGTTCCCTCCGTTCTTGTTCAAGAAGCTGCCAGCACTTAGGGGGTCTTACCGGGATGCTTATCTCAGGAATTGGACGGGTTGGCCGTGGTGGGCGCCCGTGGGCGCCTCGTGGGCCCCTCGTCCTGGGTGGGGCCTGGCGAGGTTTCGCCTCGCACCGGCCCGTGGCCCGTGGGCGCTGGCGGGTGCCCGCCCGTGGGCGCCTCGTGGGCGCCTCGCGCGCTGGGTGGGTGTGCCGAGGTCTTGCCTCCTGCCCGCCCGTGGCCGCCCGTGGGCGCCCCCCGTTCGCTGGGCGGCCGCATAGCTTGCATGACGCAGCTTTCACCACGTAGCTTGCACCACGCAGCTTGCACCACACGCTGGCACCACGCAGTTTACGTCACTTGGTTTCCACTGCGCAGCTCACACCACACAGCTGGCACCATACAGCTTCCGCCACGCAGCTCGCACCACATATATTGCACCCCACCTCTTACCGCACATGACTTGCACCACAGCGCCGCTTAACTTGTTCCACAGACATTGCACCACATAGCTTATTACATCAGAGTGAGGGGGCCGAACGGTCATTCATTGTCCCTGGGTGCGTGGCTTAAGTGCGGATCCGTGGTGAGGATTCTGCTCGTTGCGTTGTCGTTGCTGTTGCTGTTGAATTCTCATTTCTGAAGAATAATTATTGTTGATCCCCCCCCCACCGGTGCATATTGTTTTTGTTCCCGGAAAGGGCAAAGGCCCAGGGTTCTCTTTTAGTATGTAAACAATGTCCCCGTGCCCAACTTGAAGGAGGCCGGCGGATTCTTTCCCTGATAAATATCGAGGTCGAAGGAGGCCGGCGGATTAAAATTTGAGGATGTCTCAGGCGAAACGCTTGTTTTTGAAATCCCGATCGATAAATCACAGACACCCCAGCACGACCACACCTCACCCCAGCACGACCACACCCCAGCACGACCACACCCCAGCACGACCACCCACCCCAGCACGACCACACCCCAGCACGACCACACCCCAGCACGACCACGCCCCAGCACGACCACGCCCCAGCACGCCCCAGCACGCCCCCCAGCACGACCACCCCCCAGCACGACCACCCCCCAGCACGACCACACCCCAGCACGACCACTCCCCAGCACGACCACACCGCCTTGGTTGAGTGGTTGCCTGTCGTCGTGGAATGTTTCGTGGGGTGTCTCGTGGAATGTTTCGCGGGGTGTCTCGTGGAATGTTTCGTGAGGTGTCTCGCGGTTTCGTGAATGTTTCGTGAGGTGTCTCGTGACCACACCCCAGCACGACCACACCCCAGCACGAGCACGACCACACCCAGCACGCCCAGCACGACCACCACAGCACGACCACACCCCAGCACACACCCCAGCACGACCACACCCCAGCACGACCACACCCCAGCACGACCACACCCCAGCACGAGCACGACACCCCAGCACGCACCCCACCCCAGCACGACCACACCCCAGCACGACCACACCCCAGCACGACCCCACCCCAGCACGACCCCACCCCAGCACGACCCCACCCTAGCAAGACCACACCCCAGCACGACCACACCCCAGCACGACCTCACCACAGCACGACCACACCCCAGCACGACCACGCCCCAGCACGACCACGCCCCAGCACGACCACGCCCCAGCACGACCACCCCCCAGCACGACCACCCCCCAGCACGACCACCCCCCAGCACGACCACCCCCCAGCACGACCACACCCCAGCACGACCACTCCCCAGCACGACCACACCGCCTTGGTTGAGTGGTTGCCTGTCGTCGTGGAATGTTTCGTGGGGTGTCTCGTGGAATGTTTCGCGGGGTGTCTCTGGAATGTTTCGTGAGGTGTCTCGCGGAATGTTTCGTGAGGTGTCTCGTGGGATGTTTCGTGAGGTGTCTCGTGGGATGTTTCGTGAGGTGTTGCCCCGTTGGGTATCGTGAAAACGTGCCCATGCTCCACATGTCTATATCCCTTTCCGGGTTCGTGGGTCCATCATGTCAATCAAAGTGTACCCCCGTTCCCGCCCGAGATTTCTTTGCATTTTATTCAGGAATCGCGCTCTCGCTTGGGACGTCCTTACAATTCATTCAGGAATCGCTCTCCCGGCGCTCTGGAGTCTCGCTCTCGCTGGAGACTTGCTTGCAACTTACTGAAGAATGGCCTTGCGTTGGAATTTCTTGCAATTTGCCCGAGCGCCGCGCTCCCGACACCCAGGCACCCAGGAGTCGCGCCCGTTGTGGCCCCATGTGCATGCCCTTCGTGGCCCCGCTGTCGCCATTTGTGTTCCCCTCACTGTCCTACGTGGCCCAGTTGCTACCCTCCAGTGGCCCCATAGTTGCCTTCTGTGGCCCCGCATTATCTGCACTTCGTGGCCCCCGCTCGTTCGCGCTCTTCGTGGCCCCATACGCATTCCCTTCGTGTCCCCGCTGTCGCCCTTCGTGGCCTACTTCGTGCCCTTCATGGCCCTGCTGTCGTTCTCTCTCGCTCTCGCTTTCGCTCGTCGTCGCCGTCGTCGTCGTCGCCGTCGTCTTCGACGTCGTCGTCGTCGTCGTCGTCGTCGTGGTCGGTCCCCTGTCCGTCCCTCTTGGGGTCGGGTCGACGGTCCGCGGCCGCCCCGCCGATCAGCGCTGCCGCTGGCCAGGTCGACGGTCCGCGGCCGCCCCGCCGCTTGCTGGGGCCCGGCCTGCACGGAAGGGGTATACCCACCAAAAGGGGTTCGATCGAAGCCGAAGAGGGCGGGTATCGAGGGTTTGGGAAATACGCGTTATTGGACACTCGAGCATATAAGGGCGAACAGTCTTGAAATTATTGTTGTTGTTGTTGTTGCTGTTGCTGTTGCTGTTGCTGTTGTTGTTGTTGTTGTTGTTGTTGTTGTTGTTGTTGTTGTTTGTCATCGTCGTCCCCGCGACCCGGCCTACGACCCACCCGCGACCCACCCCGCGACCCACCCGCGACCCACCCCGCGACCCACTCGCGAACCACCCGCGAACCGCTCGCGACCCACCCGCGACCCGCTCGCGACCTGGCCCGCGACCCACCCGCGACCCATCCACCCGCGACCCATCTGCGACCCAACCCGCGACCCACCTACATTAGTTTAACAAAAAATCGGTGCCTGCGGCGGGCTCGGTGTATGGCTTGAATTTTTGTTCGCCTGCGCCGGGCTTCTTCGGAGCCGTGCAGACCGCAGACGTCCCCGCCGCCCCCTCACTCTTATTCGCAACTGCGGGGTGCTACGGTATAGCTTGCACCAGATAATTACCTCCACCGTGCAGAACAAATCCTGTATAGGATCCGCGCTGGTGAATCTGTTTTATCCCAAGCCGGGTTCCGACATCAATGGTTACGTGATTTAGCGTGGCGAATTGCATTGCGACGTGATATTACGTGATGCACTCTTGCACTGAGGCGGCTCGCTTTGCTTGCGTACCAAGCGCTGCTCATGTGGAGGTCGCAGCATGCTCGGTCCCTCGAGGTCTCCTGGGGCCCCACGAGGTCCACAGAGGTTTCTTGAGGCCTCTCAGCTGGAGGTCCTCGCGGAGGCCTCCAAAGGGTCAGCGAACAGGTGGCAGAGCGCCCAACCCCTCGACCCTCAATGCCCGCAACGTCGTGGATGGCTGTTTTGCTTTAGACTCCCGCAAGTTCACTTGCCTGGAGGCGCAGGGGGGGAAGGCGTGGAGAGGCCGCAAAGCCCGAAAGGGAATCTGGACTTCACGCAAGTCGGGATTCACTTGTACGCCTTTTAGGCCCAGCGCTGTTCGGAAAGGCGGCGCGGCGGGAGGGGGTCTCTAGGGCTGCCCTCGACCCTGGATCCTCGCAGGAGGGCCCGCGCAGCGACCACACCAGCAACCACTCCGGCACCACCCTCTTCACTGGCGAGTCGGGGATGAGCGGTGCTGCAGGCAGGGGCGTTGTCGGAAACGGGCCCTTCTTCATCCTCCTCCTTATCATCATCAGCATCATCAGCATCCGTAGCCATTTTGGCTCAAGGGGCCTGCTCCTTAACTTCCAACCTCTCTCGAGGCGCCTGGTGGCCAGGCACCAAGGTCGGGCCCCCTAGCAAACAGCATTATATGGCACATCATAAGAGTCGCGACATTTGCGATCTCATCGTTTTCACAAACCAGTGTCCCTGTTGCGAGAGTGTGTGTTCGTGTAAGGATTCGGCAATGCGTCATGTCCAGCGGGCCCATCTGATTGGCAAATGCGAGGCGCGACCTTGAACCCTCATGGCAACTACTGCACCGCAATCGATATCTTGTCAGGTGTACGTTTTTTTTGTTTCTCCCTTTCTTTTCCCCCTCGGCTGGCGTGCTGAGTGAACTGCAGGATCGCGTTCGTCGGTCTCACGTCCCGCCTCTGCTCGGCCATGTTCGCGCTGCCAGCGCGAGGCCCAAAGCAGAAGGCGAGCGCCGAGGCCGACGGGGCAGGCGCCAGGCGCAAGGCCCAGCGGATCGCGACGGGCGGCGGCGATAAGGGCAGCAAGGTGATGCACATGGCCCTCCTGCTCGCCAAGCTGAGCCTGGCCAACGCCCAGAGCCTTCGCTACCTGGACGCAGTTGTGTTCCACGCGTTCATCCCCCCGAAGTCCAGCATGATCTCCACGCAGATGGAGTCGATGGGCCAGGCGCACCACGCGACGGCCCAGGATATCGCGAATATCGAGGATGCAGCCAATAAGGATATCGAGGTCCAGAAGCAGGGCTCACCGCGTGTTGATATGGTGTCGGTATCAACATATCATATGTTGATGGCTCTTCGACCTAGTCATCGATGCGAAGCACTGTAACACCAACGAGGCCAAGAAGAAGGAAAGCAAGCAGGAGACGGCGCGGCTGACCATCGCTTTCTTCCCGTCGCAGGCGAACCTCGAGGACTCATTGCTTCGCGGGGTCCGCCTCCAGGGCGGAGTGAAGATGCATTGGGCGGCCCCATCGGGGCCCGCTCGAGCGCGAGGCCGAGAAACTCCTGGATCACTTCCCGAAGAGGCCAGTAGGTAGGTCCAGGGTCCAGCCAGACCCCAGCCAAGTTTTTCAGACACGTCTGCGGGCGACCAGTTCGATATTAGCTTCGTTAGTTGAGCAGGGTCTGGTTTCGCAGTCGGCCGCCATTCATCTTTCCAGCGAGCGAAAGCCCAGCCGAAAGTGAAAGCGAAAGCCGAAGCCAAACCGAAACCGATCTCCGTCTGAGCCTCCTCCTCCCTCTGACCCCAGTCGCAGGTTTCGAGAGTTCCCTGGCCAGGGGCCGCTTGTGCCTCTACGTGAAATCCGTAAGGGTTTCGCCCCCTGCCGCCGGCCCCCTCTCTCGGAGAATGGGCCATGGAAGAGCTAAGTCATGAGGCCTTGGCGCTGTCGTGAAGCAGTATCGAAACTTCATGCGAAGCCGATTCGCAATCAGCAAAACCAACTGATCGCAAGAGGGTTTACCACACCTGGCGATTGGAAAAACGTGTATGGTTTACGGGCTTGGTTACCACACCTTGCGATCAAAGGGCCGAGGGAGTTCTCGCAGTTTGGGTTACCACGCCTTGCGATGGATGTGCGTGAAGGGTGGCACCGAATTTCAGAAATGTGGCAAATCCCATGTGTTTTTGGACCCTGACCCCGCGGATCTGCGTGAGGGGTGGCACCGAATTTCAGAAATGTGGCAAATCCCATGTGTTTTTGGACCCTGACCCCGCGGATCTGCGTGAGGGGTGGCACCGAATTTCAGAAATGTGGCAAATCCCATGTGTTTTTGGACCCTGACCCCGCGGATCTGCGTGAGGGGTGGCACCGAATTTCAGAAATGTGGCAAATCCCTTGTGTTTTTGGACCCTGACCCCGCGGATCTGCGTGAGGGGTGGCACCGAATTTCAGAAATGTGGCAAATCCCTGTGTTTTTGGACCCTGACCCCGCGGATCTGCGTGAGGGGTGGCACCGAATTTCAGAAATGTGGCAAATCCCTGTGTTTTTGGACCCTGACCCCGCGGATCTGCGTGAGGGGTGGCACCGAATTTCAGAAATGTGGCAAATCCCTGTGTTTTTGGACCCTGACCCCGCGGATCTGCGTGAGGGGTGGCACCGAATTTCAGGAATGTGGCAAATCCCATGTGTTTTTGGACCCTGACCCCGCGGATCTGCGTGAGGGGTGGCACCGAATTTCAGAAATGTGTCAAATCCCTGGTGTTTGTGGACCCTGACCCCGCGGATCTGCGTGAGGGGTGTCGATTTCGAGCCCCCCCAGCAATTCAGACACCGCGCCCAGGGGGTGCTAAAAAGCCGGTTTGGGCCTCCCCCCCCTCGCGCGGTCAATCAACTAGTTACAGCAACCAGCAATAAGTCAACTAGTTACAGTAACCAGCAAGCAGAACTACGACTGGTACAGGAAACTGCGAATCACGGGCCTGCAGCCTGGTGGCCCCACAAGGGGGCCGGCGGATTCGTTTTGTTCGCTCGTCTGACCCATAGTTGTGGGTCCCCGCGGGGGTGCTATCTCGCCCCGAATCCCCCCGCAGGGCGCGAGCAGGCCAGCGCCCATGTCTTGGGCCAGCGGGCCGACTGCGCTTTCTGGCGCAGGGTGTAGCAGTCAGCAGCAAGTCTGAATGATTTTGAGTGCTTCGCATATTGGAGTCTTTTCATACGCACCTCCCGCTACCCAAAATTGAAGAACAATCACCGTTACCATTTTCATCGCCATCATCATCATATCGTCCGCATTGCTGTCACCAACACCATCACCATCATAATCCGCATCATCATCATCATCATCATCATCATCATCATCATCATCATCATCATCATCAGCACCATCGTCATCATCAGCACCACCACCATCATCATCATCATCATCATCATCATCATCAGCCTCATCATCATCACCATCATCTTGCTGGACATCTCGTGGCCCAGGACGTCGGGACGGCGCGTTTTGGTATGTTGGGTCTCTGGTAGTCTTTTGTTGTTGAATTCTTGGGCCGCCAACGACCAATACAGAAAGATAATGTTGTCCTTTGGAGGGGATCGACAGTTTCAGGAAAGAAGATTCCTGCCTCCGTTCCTGCATCCTCCCACTTCCCACATCCTCCCTCCCCCTTCTTCCGCCTCCGCCTTCCCTACTGCTGCGAGCACCCGCGGACACTCCGTCGCCGATCTCACCTCCCCGTCCTCACACCCCTCCGCCCGCTCACCCCTCCTGTTCATTCCTCTCCATCCCGCTCCTTCGTTTATTCCCTCCATGTGGAGATGTGTGCAAGCTTGGCGCTGCACACGCCGACCCTGAGATCCGACGTCGCGAACAAGCACACAGCAAGATCAACAATCACGGCTGCAGCCCTGGACCGAATCTTCCCGTGGCGTGTCTCAGGCTGGATCGAGCCGTGAGGGCCCCGAGGCCCGAAACGGGGCGAGATCGCCCGGTGTGAGAAAAACGCGACGCCCGCGTCTTGGGGGCGTGGATCAGCGACGGGTCCCGTTTCCATTGGAGATCGCAGATTTCCGCCGCCGAACGAGGCGGCACCGGCCGCATTTGGGGGGAGGTGCCACGCCAACTCCATGGATCGCTAATCCATGCTTGCGCGCCCCCGCCGCTGGAGGCGAGTCCAAGGGCAGCCCCAGCGGCCTCAGCAACAGCGGCGACAGCGCCGACGTCACGACCGGGGCTTCGAGCCGCGAGCCGGCGACGAGAGGGGGGAGGTGAGAGATCGAGGAACAACGACAGAAACGTACGGTGGTTCCTTTTGTGGGCAAGATTCGTATCCGTATCCCGTGCGTCTTGGCCAGTTTTGAAATGGGCGCCACCAGGCCGAGGCGCATTGGATATAGACAATCATCGGGCCTTTGGGGGCCAGTTTTTATCCATATCCAGTGCGCCTCGGGTTTCTGGGGAAGAGAGCCAGGAACTCCAAGCTGCAGTGGATATGGGCACACGTCTGTTCGTGTCGTGTCGATGCGGCTGCGACCGCGCCGCGGGCGTGCAAGATTGAACGCCGCCTCTGGCCCAGAATCGGCCAACACGAAGCGATCCGGCGATCGGCACAAGTTTGAACGATCTGCGCGGTGCCAGACCAGCGTACAAGTCTTCACTGCACGATCTTGCCGCTTGCCGTAGACGTTAGGAGGTCCGCACGGAATGCTTGGGTCGGCGTAGGGCACCCCCTTGGCGGCGCCTCCTGCGCGCGGAGCGCGCTCGGGGAGGGCACCGACCCCGAGAGTCTGCACAGACTTCTGGAAGTTCATGCAGCTGCGTGCGGCAAGCCCCGCAACCGTGCCAGCCCAGCATTCTGGGTGGCTGCGATTGTTGCCGGGGGCGCTGGAGGCCGTCACCTCTGAAACTTTTTTTGTCTTCCTTCCTTGAGAAGCTCTCATGGAGCTCACGTCGGGCCGTCTTGAGGCTGTATTGGGCTCCTGCGGGGCAGTCTGTAGGGTCCCCCGAGGCCCTCTTGGACCGTCTTGGGGCTCTCATGGGCCGTCTTGGCGTCCTCTCTTGGTCGTCTAGTTGTTCTCTTGGGGCCGTCTTGGGCCGTCGAGATGCCCTCTGAGGCCGTCTTGTGTCCCTCCAGAAGCCCTCTCGGGACTCTTGGGGCCGTCTTGGGCCGCCTAGGGGCCCTCTTGAGGTCGTCTGGGAGCCATCTTGGCATCTTGGAGGCCGCTGAGGCCGTCTTGAACCGACCTCAGCCTGAACAAAATTTGCTGGACGCCGATGAAGTTTGCTTCCTCGGTCCTACTGGGGATCCGTTTGGAAGCCCTCTTTGGCCGTCCTGGAGGCCTCCTGGCCCGTCTCGAGGTCATATTGAGCCGTCTGAGGGCCATCCGAGGCCATCGCGGCAGCATTGGTGCTTGCTTGAGCCGTCTTTGAAGCCACCTTGGAACGGCATCTCTGACGCATTGCAGAGAACCAGGAAGGCGTCGGGCCGCCCAAGAAGCCTCGGACGCGTGCGTGCGTGCATGCGTGCGTGCGTGCGTGCGTGCATGCGTGCATGCGTGCGTGCGTGCGTGCGTGCGTGCGTGCGTGCGTGCGTAGGTGCGTGCGTGCGTGCGTGCGCGCGTGTGTGTGTGTGTGTGTGTGTGTGTGTGTGCGTGTGCGTGTGCGTGTGCGTGTGCGTGTGCGTGTGCGTGTGCGTGTGCGTGTGCGTGTGCGTGTGCGTGTGCGTGTGCGTGTGCGTGTGCGTGTGCGTGTGCGTGTGTGTGTGTGTGTGTGTGTGTGTGTGTGTGTGGTGGTGGGGGGGGGGGGGGGGGGGGGGGGGGAGGGGGGGGGGGGGGGGGGGGGGGGGGGCGACGCACGCAACTGGATGCGAGTAGAGGGGGGGGCATAAGAAGATCACAAACACCATACCAGAGAGCACTATGCAGCCTACCACGCCTCAACGTGGGCTTGTGGTGGTTATAAGCTGTGTCTCTTCTGAGGGAGCGAGAGGGGGGGCGAGGTGGGAAGTTCCTTTACAGGCGACAGACATCCTTTGGCGGCGAGGGGAGTGGAGGACGAGGAGGAGGACCAGTGACGCGGAGGATGAGGAGCACCAAGGAAGATCGAGGAGTGGGAGCAGGCCCTGACGACCCAGCCGGCGACCAAGCCTCATCATTATTTTTGCACCAGCCAGCAGACCATCACCATGGACCATTATTGGGCCTCCATCCGACTTTCACCGACACGCCAGGACCGCCACATGAAGCTCAAGCTGACATCGGGAGCCACCAGCGAGCCCACGTGGCCAATCGAGTTAGGGGAGCTTCATCACCACAGCCCAGCACTAGTGGATTCCTACTCAAGCACAGAACCAATCGACGACCAAGGGATCGCGACTACCTCGTGGGACCTAGACGAGCCGCACAGCACAGGAAACAACCACGCCACCACTAGACCTGACACTAGTAATGCGACTGCCCAGAAATACATCACGTTATGGGAGCCATCAAAGCAAGTCATCACCCAAGGCAACACCATACGCATCCGAGTGAGGGAGGCTGACGAAATTGACCAACGCATGAAGATCGACGTAGCCGCGAAGCTCGACCTCCTCAAGCAAAACTACGAGTCCAACTAAGAGGGGGAGTACGAGACGGAGCCCAAATTCGGTGGTTCTGACGGCCCTACATGGCTCTAGCACCAAGGCACCTCAGTGGAAACATATCGACCCGACAGTGCGACGCAAGGAACCAACAAACATCTGACATAACATCTCAACGTTTTCGGTGTTGCCAGCAGGTAGCGACAACTGCCATCGCACCCTCCGCAGTAACACCCCAAACATTATACGGATCACGGACTCGACAGCACACGCCAACGCATCCAGCACTCGACAAGCAGTCGCAACATATGTCACATATGCAGCAGCGCCATGCATCAACAGTAAGCTATTACCACTACCAGGCACTTTCGAATCTCAATGCAGGGCCGCCTATATTGGATACGCACCACCTCAAGCTTGCCTTCTGTGGAGGGCCTATCCAGACAAGGAGCGCGGCACATCCACATGGGAGTGCGTACACACGAAATCCGCCCGCCATTGACCAATGCAACCACATGCGCATGGATGCAACGGCACATGTGCGTGCGCGAATACAGCGGCACATGGAGTTTTCTCTACGAGCCACCCAACACAAAGGCCGGAGCAAACGAGCCGCCTCCACGACCATGCGAACCATCACAAAAAAGGCCACGGCGTCTTCTGCATTACCATGACGATCACGGACCGATTGAAGGACCAGAAGCCGTAAGCGGCGATGTCAGACCGACGCGGCATGCAAACACAAGCTCCCCAACGCTATCCACACGTTGCGGAGCCACCGACTTGCCAGAAGCACAAGGTTCATTGGAGTCGGACCGCCACTGCTCGACGCAGCCCTGTGGGTCAAAGCACTCCAGCGGGACATACCGCCAAGCGAGACGACAGCGCCGCACCGGAGAGGTTCAACGAAGTGCGAGGTGCCATCCATCACTATTTCTAAAGCACACCCTACGGAGACGACAACGGCCGCGGCAATACACGAGGCAACACCGAGAGTAACCCCAGCACCATGGCACCCGGCTCGCCCGGGGGCGGGGGTCATGCTCGGCTCAGGCCCCGCCACTCACGGACACTCCCACCTTATGCCACGCCCGACTCTGCGAAGCGCCCTTCCCTCTCGCCGCGAGCCCGCCCCAGCTGTTCCTGCTTTGCGCGACACTGACTAGTGTTCTTTCCCCACGCCGCCACACAACGCCGCGAACCAACACCTCCACCTCCCTCTGAGCCTCGGGTCGAGGATCGGAGGGCGGTGGGCCTGCTCTAGAGAGAGGGCGCGCGACGGGAGGGGTGGTGGTTGGGGAAGGGAGGAGGGATGCGGACGGGGGCAGAACGAAGGAGGAGAGGCCTAGAAAGAAGGCCTGAGTAGCAAAATCCTCTCGGCCGCCCTCGCGGACGAGGAGGAGCGCCGCCGAGAGGGGAAGGAGAAGGACGAGGAGGAGGTGGTGGTGGAGGAGGAGGAGGAGCGGGAGCAGGTGATAAAAAATCGGTACAAGAAGCGGGACGCCGACAAGAAGCACGACGCGGAGCAGGCCGGCTTCAGCTTGTTGTCCGACGGCACGAGCACTTTGCACATCGCCAACGTCCCGAGGAGGGGGAGGAGGAGGAGGAAGAGGACGAGGAGGAAGATGACGAGGAGGAAGAGGACCAGGAGGAAGAGGACCAGGAGGAAAAGGACCAGGAGGAAGAGAACGAGGAGGAGAAGGCGGACGACGACGACGACGACGACGAACGATCGGTGATGACGTCGAGGACCCCGGCATGACGTCGAGGACCCCCGCAGACCTCGGAGGATCAGCATAGAGGTGCAGGAGAATCAGTGGAAGTAGGAGGAAGACGAGGATGGGGGGAGGAGGACGATGAGGAGGAGGAGAAGGAGGAGGAGGAGGATCAGGAATTGGAGGAGGAGGAGGTTGAGGAGGGAAAGCAGGGGAGGATGAGGAGGAGGAGTAGTACCAGAGTACATGTAGGACGCATCAGTTGTCATGCAGTGCACCCTAACCCTCCCGTCCCAAGTCCCTTCCTCGCAAGTTTCCACAATCATTCCTGTTCGTTGCGGAAGGCACCCCGTTGAATGGTTAGCGCCCCATGGATTGCCAAGCAGGGAGGGCGCCTTGCACCTTATCGGGTGTTCGGTGTGTAGAAGTTGAGGACGGAGGTAGGGCCATCGATTTCCATGGTCAAGACGATGTCCAGCGAACGCCCCGTATTGAGTTTGAGCCATTCGTGTTCACACAGTTTGCCATACTTGTTGGGAGCCCAAGTGTGGAGGTATGTTGTGCCGGGCGGTCGGACCAATGAGTTTCAGTGCGGCAAACGATCGGTTGTTGCATGCCACTGGTGTATGGCATTGGCGCATGCCCGTGATGTATGCCATTGGTGCCTGGTCTTGGTGCTTGTGCTTAGCATCTAGTCATGATTACTGCGCCTTGTGTCTGTTATGGATGTATGCTTGCGCGTGCGCTCGTGGTGCTACCTCTAGGCATGTAATAATGTTGCACATCGGTGATTGGTGCATACCTGTTCCTAGTACGTAGTGTCAGTTTATGTCGTTGATGTGTGCTCTCGGTGTGTGTTGTTGATGTGTGTTGTTGGTGACTGTTGCAGATGTGTGTGATTAATACCAGGAGTTGGCGTATGTTCTTGGTGCTTCCTATTTTCGGTCGTCTGATGTGTGTGGTGGTGCTGTATGTTACCCGCGCACGTTACTGATGTATGGCCTTCGTGAATGTTATCGATGTATGGTCTTGCTGGTGTGCGTGATGTGTGTTGTTTTGTGTTCGGGGTGTATGTGAGTTTCACATGTGTTGGACATGTAGTACTGCTGTGCCTTCTATGTATATGTTGCCAGTTGCAGTTGCTGGTGTATGCCATGGTTTTAATACGTTGGTAATGTTGTGTACTATTGGTGCGTTGTCTTGGCTGATGCGATGCACGTACATTATTGGTGCTGGTTGGTGGCGTACGTTGTTGGTGCATGTTCTTGATGCGTGTCCTTGGTGTCGACAGTAGACGTACGTTGTCAACCTATATTCCCGATGTCTGTTGTTGACGCGCGTTCTTAGTGAGCGCTCCTTTATGTATGTTCTGAGTGTGTGTGGATGGCGTGGCGTCATGACGCCTTTACGGCACACGCCTTGACGGCTTCCTTTTGGTCTGTGCCTGTTTCCGCATCATCTCTTCATTGGGCTCTCGGGGATCTCCGGGGCCTGGCGGCCTCGACATGCAAGGCGGCCGAGGCAGAATACCCAGGGACCACCCAGAGGTTCTGGCCTGGCGGCAGCGGTATGCAGGACGGCCAGGCGGGACACCCACGGACCATTCGGGGTCTTGGGCTTGGGGCATGGCGGCCACCGTGTGCAGGGCGGGCGAGGCGGGTCGGAAAGTTTGCCCGGTAAGGTCTCTGGCCCAGGGTTCTTTTTGTGGTGGCGGGCCCGTTGGCCTTGTATAACAAGGGTGTCGAGCAGCAGACGTCGTAATCTGACACGTAAGAATACGTGCGCGGAGGGGGGGGTCTCCAGCATGCGTCTCGGCGTGCATGCGTCTGGCATGGGTTTTCGCGCACTTCTCGCCAACGGGCCCCTCCGGGGGGGGACCCAACGTCTGGTCGGCAGGTTCTTCACACGTGCAAGAATACGCGCGGAGGGGGAGGACCCAATATGCGCCCGGCGCGTGCGCGCGGCGCACGTGTTTTCACATCTTCACAGCCCCACGGGGGGGACCCAATTTCTGGTCGGCAGGTTTTTACACGTTAAAATACTTGCGCGGAGGGGGGACATGCGCCTGGCGCGTACGCGCGGGGCATCTGTTCCCACGTGTCCACGGCCGCCTGGGGTGGACCCAGGTTCAGGTCGGCGGATTCTTCGCAAGTAAGAATCCGCGCGCGGAGGGGGGGGACATCAATCTGCGTCTGGTGCGTGCGCGCGGGGCACGTGTTTTCGCGTGTCCACGGCTCCCAAGGGGGGGGGGGAATCCCAATTTCTAGCCGGCGCATTCTATACGGGTAAACATGTGCGCGGAGAGGGGTGGGACCCAATTTGCGCCTGTCGCGCGCGTGCGGGATGCGTGGTTTCACGTGTCCGTGGCCCCCTGGGAGGGATTTGGCTTCTGGTCGGCGGATTCTTTACACGAGTCCGCGTGGAGGGGCGGGCCAACATGCGCTTGGCGCGTGCGCGCTTTTCACACGTCCACGGCCCCCAGGGGGGAATCGCAACTTCTGGGCGGCGGATTCTACACACGTAAAAATTTGTGTGCGCGGAGGGGGCGACCCAACATACGCTTTGCGCGTGTGCGCGGGGCACGTGTTTTCACGTGTTCACGCTCCCCCGGAGGGTGAGGTCGGGAGAGCGGAGAAAGGGAACGCAGGAGAGAGAGAAGGGGAAAGAGGAGGACGAGGACGAGGAGGGGGAGGAGGGGGAGGGGGATGAGCAGGACCAGGCAGGCGATGAGAAGGATAACGGAGAAGAGGATGAAGCCGGACTAGCTACACGGAGGGACAGGAAGCAGGAAGATGACGATGATGATGATGATGATGATGATGATGATGATGATGATGATTATGATGATGATGATGATGATGATGATGCTGATGCTGATGCTGATGCTGATGCTGATGATGATGATGATGATGATGATGATGATGATGATGATGATAGTGATGGTGATGGTGATGGTGATGGTGATGGTGATGGTGATGAGGATGAGGATGATGGTGGTGATGATGTTGAGAGCAGGAGGAGGACGGGGGGGAGGAGGAGGAGGAAGGGTTGAAGGTAGCGGTGGCAGTCCAGAGGAGGAAAAGTTCAACATGCGTGGCATAATCATTTTTGATTCTTATTCCTTACTAGGAGTTATCCTGCGATGAAGCATCCTCAACCTGCCGGTTGGGGAAGCCGGACCGTTTTATCGAGCCTCGAAGTTGCCGCGCTTCGTTACGCTTCACTATTCTTAGTGACACGCTTTCAGGACATATGAAGCGAGGGCCATCTTTTGACAACGACTCCCCCTCCATCTTTGCAACTGCTACAAGCTGTTGAGGCGTTAGTGCGCGGCGCTACGGTCCAGATCCACATTCTGAAAGCCATCAGCCTTCAATTCGCGTGACTGTTTGTTTTAGGAGCTAGTAGGAGGCGAGGAAGGCTCTGGCGAAACGGCTGGACCACCCTGCCGATCTCGTCTAGAGGTGCGACGAGGGGGAGTTATTAGTCGAAGGCGCCTGCGGCGAACCACCGCCGCCCCCTGCCTTTTGGAAACGAAGATGGTGCCAAACGTTTAGCGGAAGGCTTGTCAAGCTTTTAGGGGATGTCAAATCAGTGTGAGGAACGCTTGAGGGAGGAGAGAGCGGAGGAGCAGCAACAGGATCAACCAGGTCTCCGCGGCAAGCACGATGGAGTAACACGCTAGTAGGTTTCCAACGCCGGCATGTCATTGATATTATTTTTTGCCCCTCCCGAGAGGGAGGAGGAAAGGGAGGAGGGGGAGAGGGAGGAGGAGGAGAGGGAGGAGGAGGAGGAGGATGAGGAAAGGGAGGAGGAAGTGAAGAGGAAGCCTCGTGGGGGCGTCCTGGCGGCTTCCTGGGCCATTTCGGGTCTCTTAAGGTCTCTGAGGCGCCTCTTGGGGCCTTTTGGAGAACTCTTGAGGGCCTCTAAGCCACCTCTTGGCGTCTCGGGGGCCTCAACGGGTTTTGTTGAGGCCCTGTTTGGACGCTTTAGCGCTGTCTTGGAGTCCTCCGAGGCCGTCTTGGTGTCCTCTCTGGGGCCTTGCGCCGTCTGGAGGCTTTTGGGGCTGTCGGAAGCACGAAAGCGTGAACACTAGAACATCGGTCAAAAACATTCGAACATCAATGACGCGAGTATCGTCGGGTCCTCCTGGAAGACCTGTTGGAGCCCTCTATGGCATAAACGCGCCGTCTTGGATGCCATCTTGGACCGTCTTGGATGCCATGTTGGACCAGTCAGTGTTTCTGGTGGGCTGGCGGGTTGAGCCGGAACCCCACTGGGAAAAAATGCGGATGGGTTTAGATGGTTATCACTTGGCACGCCAATTGTCCCTCTGCAAGCAGAAGGGGGCGGCGGATATAGTGGCTCTCGGCCCAAACCGCCACCGTGATTACGTTGTGGACCCGAGGCCTCTCGGATGTCTCTGGAGGTCTCTCGGGCGATCTCTTGGGGACCTCTTGGGGGCCTGTTTGGGGTATGTTGTGGGCCTGTTGGGGGCAGCTTAGGGGCCTCTTGGGGACCTCGGTGGGTTCCCGGCGGTCTTTTAGGCCATCTTTTGCTGGCGGGCTCAAAATGACAGTTCGTGTTCCTCCATTCGGGCCCGTCTTGTGGCCTTGGAGGGCCTGTTGGGCTTCTCTTGGAGGCTTGAACGTCGTCTTGGGGCGATCTCTGGGGGCAGTTGGCCCGCGAGAAGGGTCAGATCATTGAAAAGACCCATGGTGTTGCAATGAGTTGGGCCGCTTGTGGCGGCTCCCCGAGGTGCCGAGACGGCCCAAGAGGCGCCCCCGAAGTCTGACAAAAGCCGCGCGAGGTTCCCAGGAAGCGCCCCGGAGCGCCCGTCGCCCCGAGGCGCCGAAAAAGAGTTCGCGCAAGATTCAGCACACAGAATTCGAAGGGACCTGGGGAGACACTCCGCGCTCAGTGCCTCTAGCACGGTGGCGGACAAGTTAGAGGGATGGAGGAGGAGGAGGAGGAGGAGGAGGAGGAGGAGGACCAGTCGCAGAGGAGGAAGCATGGAGGAGGTTATGACGAGAACGAGGAGGAAGAACACGTTCCGGCATGTCCGAAGAGACTCGGGAAGAGGAGGGAGGGACACCAGGAAAAGGGTGGGGGAGGAAGACGAACCTGCGTTACCTGGGGGGGTGGGGGGGAAGGGGGGAGAACCAGACAAATCATGGTTCGCGTAGCGTTGTCTGAAATCGAGCCGCCGTTTGCAAAACCCAGGCGGAACTTGGGGGCGAATCGTGACATCATACGGGGATGGGGGGAAGAGGGGCCGCTGCCCCAGCAATTTGCGCTACCGCGAATTGCGAGTCTGCGCGGGGTGGGCACAAGTTTCCGACGACCACACTTCGCCGAGTCGCCGGTACCAGGCGGTCTTGCCCTCCCCACCCCTGGACCGGCTTCTAGTCCGTAAGTGTTCTCGAAGAGCCCAGAGCCCAGAAGCGGTTTCAGGACGCCGAGTCGAGGTCCGAAGTCCGAGTCGAAGTCCTTGGACATTTTCTGACGGTCCGACGTCCAGGACTCAGCACTGCCTTCTCGAGGCCAAGAGGTCTGGTGAGGCGGGGGGACTGGGGAGAAGACCAGGTCCCCACCTACTTCACGCAGGGGTCGCTGCTGGCCATGCTCGAGGAACTCACGTGGCCGCCGTCGTCGTCTGCGACACCACCTGCCCACCCAGGTCGTCGGAAGGGGCAGGATAATAAAGATGGGGCGGGACGAGGAACGAGGAGCTGGATCTGTCCGTTTGTTTTTGGCACCTTACGGGCCCCAGAGGCCTCCAAGGGAGGCGTCCTGGGAGGAGGGGGGGATTGTCCTCGGCGGCCCTACGGAGAAACATGACAAAACAGAGCACGCTAGCTAATGCGGCGTGCTGATGCGGCTGCTCGCGTAGCCTGACGCGAGCAGCCAGCGCCTCCAACCAAGGAGCCGGGACCAGGCGCACGCTCACAGGCGAGGAGGCGAGACCAGCGGGCGGTGCTGGCAGCGGCACAGTTTGGTCGAGGCACGACAGGTGGTGCAAGAGCCTGCAGCAGCAGGGGAGGGGGGGGGCCAGAGGGAGCAGTGGGAGGAGGGGGCCCTGCCCGTCGGCAGGATGCGTGCGCGCTCACTCAGCCACGCGCGGAGGGGGTTAGGGGGAGGGGGGAAGGCTTTTTAGGAGGAGGTCGCCTCTCAGAAGGCGCGGGCATTGTCTGTAGATGTAGGTCCAGCGCCTTCTATGAAGCAGCCTCCTTCTAAGAAGCCTTCCCCCCCCTACCCCATTGTGCGCGCCGCCAGGGGGGAGCCGTGGGAAGAAGAGGGGGCCCTTCCTGTCAGTTGCATGCGTGCGCGCTCACTCCCCGCCCGCACACCAGAATTGTTTGGGCCGAGGGGCACAGCATGTGCTCGCGCTGCCCCGGCCTCAGCCCTCCCAGTACCTGGCTCGAACCCTGGCACGGGGGATACTCGCTCCCAGTACCTACGGTAGGTGCATGCGACGAGGGCGGCGCGCCGGCGACGCCAGTCAAGGCGTTCAAGGTTGAAGTCTGTGACGCGGAAGCACCGAGGGACACGGTAACGCCATTGGACCCCACGGAATTCAACCTTAGTTGATCGGGGCCGCGATCGATTCAAGGTTGAACGATCGACGCGGTGTCAAATCTTTTACTCGCGCAGGCGCCGCGCGAACCTACCGTGCTCGCTCCCAGCATCTACCCCCGTGCAGCCCCCTTCAAAGAGGGGCATCATGGCATCAGCGGCACTCTTGCGCGAGGTCGTGGAACGCGGGCCAGGAGTTTCGTCCCGCGATCGCTGGCGCCTCGCTGCGAGTTTGGACAATGCGCGCGCGGGCGGGGCACAGCGAATGCGCGGTGGCTTGAGTATCAGCGTCGTATCGGTTGTGGTATCGCTTCGCAGATTGGGGCGTCTCGTTGCGCGACGTCGACGTTCGCAGGACGGGGGGGCTCGAGCAGGCGGCTCTGGCGGCACCCTATCCCTGGAGGAGAGAAGTGGAGAGAAGGAGGAGCACGAGAAGGTGGAGGAGGAATTGGATGAGGAGGAGGAGCAGCAGCAGCAACACCTACCAGCATGATGACAATGATGACAAAAACGAGGAGGAGTTGTTCCCAAGAGGATGAATAAAAAATCCAGTTCTTCTTTTCTTTTCTATAAAAAACAGAGCCTCCTCCTCACGGGCGGCCACCCGCTGCCTCAGGGCCTCCAGGCCAGGAAGCAGTCCCACCTCAGGTGGGCGCAGGTAGACCTCGCGCTGCTAGGGCTGCTGGGAGACCAGCAGTCTCTCCTTGCCCACCTCACTTACGATGTGGAGCACAACGCCTGGAGCACAATTCGATTGCGGATGCAAGCCCCTGAGCATGCGGCCGAGATGCTAACGAGAGGCGGACGACATGGCACGGCCACGGCAACGCTTCTCAAGAAGTACACTGCGGCGATCTGTGCCGTACGCTCCACAGCGGCGACAAAACACTAGAGAGGGTCCTGACGAAAGTCGTGTGCAGATGAAGTCATGACCATGCTCACCATCACTCAAAAACTTGAAGTTGGCCCGCCTCCCAGAACACCCACACATATCGAGGCGAGCGGCGAACGTATGACACACGCGCTTGTGGCAATCATGACATTTGAACGTGCCAGGCGCACCAGGTACAGCCGTCCACGCGTGCCAGCGTTCAGCACCCGTATGCTGAGGCCTCTGGACTCTCTGCTTCCCGGGTCACTGGGCAAAAGGAAATTGTGGCAGCACAGCCCCAATCACGCGGGCCAGGGCTCGGGCCCTGCAAACCAGGGCTTCAACGTCGGCCAAGACATCTGGGTCACCCTGAGGGTGCATGAACATCGCCTCCGTAGCACACTTGTTAGCTAGGAAGTTCCCATTAGCAAACCTACGCCCAGCATCAGGCAAAGCATCAATTACCTCAGCACTGCGATGCGCCTTGGTGTGCCTTTCCGTGCCAACATCTAGTGTGCTGGGACATGCTTGAACGTGCCACGCAACTGCTTTGAGGGAGTCTGCTCGTGAAGACGGACCACGCCCAAGCACGTATAGTGCACATTCATCACACCTCGGATGAGGAAGGCAAGATCGCACACAGCCATCTGTTCGCCTGCTTGGGAGGTCTGTGGCAGGCTGGGCCAAACTTGCCCACGGAAGCCCGCCACGACCTCCGAGTTTGGGGCAAGAAAAAGGTTCGCATAGGTAGCTCTTGACATCTCCCGAATCAACGAGCGAGTGCACGAACCATCGGCGACGACGTCCGAAGCCCCCTCGCGAACCGACAGCTGGGTCAAGGGCTGCCCGTGGGGATCCAACAATTCAGGAGTGCGCCTGTCGGCAGGCGGATGGAGGATGCCAGGGGGATGGACGAAGACGAATCGAATCCAGAGCAGATCCTCCAGACCTCCTTCGCCTCCCGCCCCTCTGGGCACTGACAGCACAGGAGCCTGTGATGCAGGCTTTCCTGTGCGCCACAGAGTGGGCAGTGTGGGTCTACATCACATCTTGCGTTCCAGAACCGATCAGTCATAAAAACGGGTCTGGTAAATTATGAAGCTATAACATACTTCTGCCTAGGCGTGAACTCATCGCTCTTACAAACAAAGCTACGAACCGGGTCAGCACGCACACGCTTCTTGTTACACAAGTTCGTGCCACTGGCCAGCATGTATACGTCACGCTCCTGCTTACGTTGCACGTCCTCGTGCAGCAGAGGTTTGATCATAGTTGGGGACGGGTGCAAGAGAGAGAAAGAGACAGAGAGAGAGAGAGAGCTTCACTCTGCGAGCATCAAACCATTGGACTACACCTTTACACTCCCAGGCGATACGGTGCAAGCGGAGTATCATACGAGCAACTGGGCCTTGTAGTGCATACCAAACGTCCCCACAACAACGGCATACACCCATGTAAGCTCCTGTGCCGTGAAATGCGCGCGCTCCGGTGCAGCTGCCGCCTTCGCACAACACTCGCCCACTGCATAGCAGGTGCCACGCTCGCATCAGCCATCGGGTCTCCACGTAGTAGACACTTCGGCAAAACAGAGGCTCGTCGGTGACCTGGCGCAAGAAGAATCAAAAGCGTAGCGCGAGTTCGGCTAAGTTCAGAGTTTGGATTGCCCAGCGCTGCGCTGCCGCATGCCAGTGCTGACTTCAAACCAGCAGCGTAACTCATGCCCATGTGGCGTTTTCCGTGGATTCTCGAACACGAAGCATGCGATACCGACGAAGCTTGAAAGCCCGAGAACGTTCGCGTCGTTTGCGAAGCGCCTTAGCTACCCCCTAGTCTGTCCAGAAGCGACGTGAACCCTGAGGTTGTGCGAAGCATTGGTACGCGAGCCAGCAGGAAGACTGCGACGACGTAGCTCTGTGGCTAAGGCTGCTGCGAACGACGGGGCGCCCTCAAACGCGATAGTTCTAGGCTCCGAAATCTGGGCCCGAAGCCCCCGCTTGAACGCGTCGCGAACATCAGCTGCTGCGTCTGGAACTGCTCGACAGAGGGCATGCCAATCACCTGCAGCCGCGATCGTGCCGTCATCAACGAAGGAGGGCAGATGAAAAGACGACTCCTTCCACCTACCCATGAAACTGTCGGAAGCACCGACGGTATACACCTGGGCGAACGCATGATTCAATGAACCGCCTGCTGGGAGGCCACTGGTAGCGAACGGCGCAGCGGGGTGGAAGGACGTTCCCATTCTGACCACACGATGAGCACGCCAGAGGTTAATCATCTCTTTGACAATGGCTCCAGGAATGTCTCACTGACGGGCTCGAGGTCTCAAGAGTCCCACATCGAAGGACTCGTAGTGTTCCATGCAATCCCATTGGACCCACATGCAGATTTGATCTTGTACGACGCAGATTCCGATACTGCGGCCTGGGCCCGCGCGCGCGATCCAGCGTTCTTGCCGGCGCCGAAGGCCCAGTATGCGCGTTCAGTAGACGCAAAACAGGGGGCCAACTGCTGGCGTCGCAGTCGCCCCCGCACTCTCACGCAATGGCATGATGCCCACTAGTTGGATGATCGATGAGCGGGGAGACCACCCACATGCCATGCCCCTGGAACGAGACGCGCATTTCCACCGCCTCGCGCAGGGCGCTCAGGGCGAACGCGCCAGCGCCCCCCAGGGAGAGAGACATATGCCTCGGATGAAGCCCACCTAACATGGAGGCCGTAGAGCTTGACAAACTCCGCGATGCATATCGAATCTCATTACATGTGGCTCTCGGGGGACAATCGCGATCTGGTGCTTCAGCAGTGGGCGGCTGATGTGCAGCCTGCGACTGCGCCTTAGGCGCCTCGGCCTCAGCGCGCATTGCCGCGCATGGGCAGCGAGGGAAATTGCCGGGTGGTTTCTCGACCACGGTGGGCCACCACTGCTGCTGAAGTATTGCTATCTGATGTGTCGACTCCACCGATCCTTTCAATCCCTTGTCGCGCCATTAATTCCATGATGTCGTTCGTGGCTTGTCAATGTGCCTGGTGGCCGCTTCGATATCATGCTTGAGTGGGCCCCGAAAAAGCGGGGCCCCCAGCCGCTGGGGAGGCGCGGCGCGGGCTGCAAAAAGCACCCGGCGCAGGGCAATCGCACGCTGGGCGCCGAAGGGGCTGAGCGTGGGGGCCGAGTCTAGCGCCGAGACTTGCGCCAGTATAAGCCTCCGACGTGCACGCGTGCTACAGGCGCGACGCAGTCTCGTGCTCGTCAAGGCCAAGAACCTCGCCATCACTTCGGCGTCGCGCCAAACTCGATGGGGCCGCTGCCGGCCGCGAGATGCCTGCATATCATCATTGGTTTTTAGTATGTCTGCCGAAGACAGGCAACCACCGTCGAGCCAGGCACCGATGTCTGACATGTCGTGCAATCGGGCGACCTCGGACCGCCGCCAACTCCTGCTCCGCGGCGCCAGCGACTTCCCGAGCACTGTTTAACATCGCCCGCGCAGCCGCGGTCGCACCATGAGTTGCAATCCGCGTTGCTTCAATGGCCAAATCAAGAGCCGCATGAAGAGGCCGAGGCTGAGGGCATGGGCCACTAGAGGGAGCGACTGGCAACCGGCCGCGGGCGCGGCAGACCACTTGCGCGAGCCTCGCTGCACCAGGTCGAAGGTGGAGGCATGCTGGCCCGCGCGGTCCTCCGCGCAACATCACGAGAGCATCAGAAGAAGTCAATCGTCGAGGCATTGCTAGACATCGTGCATGCGTGGCGCGCAGGGGCCACAGGGGTGAGACCTGCCCTCCGCGTGGAACCGCTCTCCTCGATGGTCGCGGGCCCCAGGTTCTATCGGATCCCCGCGGGGGTGACGGGCAAACGCGGCCACGCGGGCACAATGCGAACTTCGCCCTCTTTCCTCGGAAGGGCCCTCGACATTCGATGTCCGCAGGTCCGAGCCGCTCGCTGGAGATCGGCGCCCGCGCCAGGGCCAGCACCTATCTCCTCAGCGCAAACGACGAGAGCACTAGTGACATGCAACCAATCCAACGGCGCGGCTCGACAGTTCCCATTGAAAGGCTCAACGAACTGCCGTGGCCCGCCCCCGGGGGCAGAGAGACCTTGTGACCCCGACAGCGTTGCCGACGCCGTATGCCGCATGCCCATCACCAGCGGGAGAAAGCATTTGGGGCTCCGAAGCCGCCGACGTCGCCGCGGGCCCGCCACCAGGGGCGCCGGGTTTCGCCGTGGACCAAACTACTCGCGATGAGTATGGGGACCCATTTGACATGATTTGCGAGGCGATGCGAGCAAAAGCGCGGCCAGCATCCAGGGCAACGCGGCACAAGTGGGAGCGCAATGCTTCCGGCCTTTATCAGGCCACGGGCATTTGATTCGACCGTGCTCGGGCATGGAAACATGATGGACAGGTTTGATTACGGCGTTGGGCAGCTCAAGTTCGCGCAGGGGAGAAATCCGACCCAGAGGAATAATTTGTCTTGTTCTTTCTTCGCGCACCCGCCGGGGGCTTCGAGTTGGTCCGCGCCGCCCATTCAGAACGTGTTGAAGTGCCGGGGCGTGCTGGCATGCGATGCTGCTCTGTTATCGCCTCCGAACAGCCCCTGCATCGGCAGAGCCTTCGGCGCGCAATGTCGAGGCCAGCGCCGGCGCATTGATGTGCGTCGCGGAGGCAGAACGAGGAGATCAGGGATACCTATGGACCGCATTTTTCGAACGAAATTCGAGGGCTTAGTTTACCAGGTGGCGGCGCCTTCAGAACTGGCGATATTGATGCTGGTTGGGGCGCGCGCAATGGTGGAGTAGCACTGAGTGAGATCGGGAACGGACCCAACGAGTATGGGCATGGGCATGCGTAGACCTGGACCAGACAAGATCACGGGGCATTGCGTTCCCTCCTCCTGGAAATTAGCGCGCACATGGACTCAGCAGGACGTGGAAGCTGGCCAGCTTCTGGAGGAGGGGAGGGGGGGTGCGAGATCAGAAGAAAAGAGCAGAGAAGAGAGTTCTTACGAGGATAGGTCAACGTTGCCACCTCATTCATTTACTGACTTACCTAGGACATGATCCGTGGATCGCGCCAATACCAAGCTTGGTGACAGGTGCCAGAGGCGCGCGGGGCGCGCCGGGGTGCTGATGGGGTCAACCTGTTACAAAACGCGGCATTTGCGGAGTTCACCGCGAACATGCGAAAGCACAGGCGCGCGATGATCTGCCCGGTAAAGGGTCGGGGGGAGCAGATGGGAAACGCGAGGTGTATGCAGAAATTGAGAGAGGGGTCGCTGGCCGGATGTTGGCGAGGGCCCCATTGGCCCGCGGTGGGTTCACGTTGGCAGTGGGGACGAGACCAATCTTGGATGCCGGTCAGGGCGTGTGGCATCACAAGTTCAAGGCAAGTCCAGAGGGAAGAACACGTTTGCAAACGCGCCCCAATTGGAAGCCCCGGGACCTTTATTCTCTTTGGTTGTCACCGACAGGATAGGGTATAATCGCGGGGGGCGTGAGCAAGGGTTAAAATCGGCGTTTATAGACGTTGGACGGGCACGATGCACGCCGGGAACAGTGGCAATATCTTTCGTCAGGTTACCCGAGGAAAACCGCGCAGCAGGCGCGTGGACAATGTCTGACGCCAGTTTACGGCTTTCGGGATGCAGCCATCAATTATGCAGGTTGTTATTTTGATTGTTTCGTTTTGGTTTGGACAATGCGAAGGCGTCACAACGTGCGTGTAAACGTGAGGCAATGTAGTTATGGCTCGCGTGGGGGCGATTTTGCTGCGCTGGGCAAGGGCGTCGCCATTGGCCTCTTCGGACGAGAAAACGATGTGCAATGCGTGGCGAAGTCTTGGGGCAGACTAGGAACGCGACCAACGGACTTGAAGGCAATCCGGATGCTCGGCCAGACTGCGGGATGGAAAGGAGATGATTCATGGTATGGCGCGGGCCAAAGCGATGCCGAGGCACTCGCTGGAGAATTCGGCCCGGGGCGATGCCGCGCGAGATGCGATATGCCAGGTGGGAAGCAGCCTGGCGAAGAAGAGCATGAGGAATCCCCACCAAACGAAGAAGTCAGAACATGCAAAGCTTTGGTGGCTCAAACTGACTATCTTGCACGTGACAGCGCGGACATGCATGTGTCAGTTGGGGAGCTTGCGCGCTCTATGTCGGCCCCGACTCGCGGGGCATGGAAATGCCTCGTGAAATTTTGGAAGCGCTTCAAACGCCTCGACAGGCGCGGGCGTCATTATATTCTTCGAGAGAGCCCGCGGGAGCTCACTGCGCGGACCGACTCCGACGATGTTGACGTGAGAAATCGCGTTACTCAGCAAGTGGAGGAACAGTCACGTGGTGACCATGCGCGGTGAAGTCGCGGAATTCGACTCAGAGCGTCGTGGCGTGATCTTCTGGAGAAGCAGAGCATCGCGGCATGATGCACGTGGGCCAGCAGCGTTAGAATTACAAGCTGTTCTTTTATTTTTCGGCGTTGATTGCGCCATCGCGTTGAAGAGCAATGCCAGCGCGGCCAGTGCCACTGCGAGCCGGCGAGGGTTAGGACAAGTCGTGCATATCGGGGTGTGTCTGTTTGGGCTGCAGAAGGTGGTGCGACGAGGAGGCACCACAGTGATCCATGTAGGAACTCGCGTGGATCTTGCAGACGCTTTAGTAGGAGATGTGAGCTAGCGCCTGCTATGGAGTTCTAGCTGAACCCATATCTGGATTATCCTCGCGTGCCGCTTCGGCGGGGATTTGGCTTCAGGATTAGTTGGGGTCCAGGTGCCCGCCTACACAAGTCAGAGGATGCTCAATCGTATGCGCTTTTTGTTGTTATGTGACGTTCTAAGTTATTGTATCCCGTGTTAGGAGGCACTTGTACGCTTGCGCCCACATCATCGTCGTGTTCTACCTGCTTCGTTTACGCCTTCAAGTATTTTACGTGCTTGGGACTCGCCACTGGGCGTCGCATAGAGTTTCATTTGACAGTCGTAAGTATTTTCTGTCTTACGTTTTCACGCGCTTCTAGAATTTAGTTAACTCGGACTCAGCTCGCTTTATATAAGTTGCTCATTCGTCGCGTCATTCGGCCAAAACTGGTTGATGGGGGGAGTTCAGAACATGGCCGTGCGACCGGGTGAGCAGCATTACCACGCGCTCCGCTGTCCCAACGCACCCGTTTCATAATTCACGAAACAGTGCCAGTAACATTCGGGTCAAGTGCAAGGTTGCGTCGTGGTGAAAAAAAACAAAAAACCCTTTCAGATTTTCAGGCATGCCAGAGGGCAGCAACACGGGGGAGGCGTGGGAACAGCAACGCGGGTGAATCGGTGGAGGCAGAGGAGGAAGAGGAGGAACAGCAAGAGGAGGACGAGGAGGAAGAAAAGGAGGTGGACAAGGAGGGGGAGGAGGAGGAGGAGGAAACACAGGAATAGGAGGAGGACGAGGCGGACGATGAGAAAAAAAGGAAGGGAAGTGGGAGGAGGCGTCAAGTCAAGTAGTCCAGTTGCGGGCTCAGCAAGGACAGTGGCATCGGCCTTTGTCATCCAACATCATGATTATTTACGTATTCGATGGGGGAGGCCAGAAGACATGCACGAGAAGGAATGACTCGCCGCGAGGACCTGACTCCAGCGATGCGGGGCAACTTCGATTTCTTCCATTGCCCCTGGCAGCAGGACCGGGGGGCACAGGCACGGTGGCCTCCCCAAAATGGAGGACCGTCTTCCGGGAGGGCTTGAGGACGGTGGAGGAGGAGGAGGAAGAGAAGGAGGAGGAGGATGAGGAGGAGGACGAAGTGGAAAGGAGGCGGATGACAAGGAGGAGGAGGAAGGAAGAGGAAGAAGATGATGATGAGGAATCAGATCAGGATGAAAAGAAGAAGGAGGAGGTGCAGGAGGAGGAGAAGGAGGAAGAAGAGGAGGAGGAGGAAAAACCACATGCAACGGGCTTTGGCGTCCTGCGCACGCAGCGACCCAACCCTCCGTCACCCACGGAAGTCCCGATGGGTAGCAGAGACTTTAGCGGCAACCCTTGGCACGAGCCCTTTGCGCAAGCTTCGTGAGGGCATTCGCGCCATGCACCGTGCGGTTCATACACTCCGGAGTCACGGCCTCCAGCTGCTGCGAGCAGGTCTCAGGACCCCGCACAATTGAGACAAACGCATCACGGGGGCTGAGGGCCAATCAAGTGGATTCGGATCGCGCTCACCAGCACAAGACACCCAGTCTTCTTTCACCTTGTCGTTGGCCGTATCCTGGTTGTCGATCCCCGCTTCCCATCGTTGCAAGGAAGCACCTCACTCGCGTAAAGAGTTGGAGTTCCTGCTCTTGCCTTCTCGCAGACAGTGGCCAGCGCACGAAACCTGCGCACACCTTCCTTGTCCGCGTTGGCCCATATCGCCGTCCAGGTCGCGCTGGGGGATGCATCCGTCGAGAACGGCCTCGGCCCCAAGGTGGCTCGTGTCTTTTCGCGGAGTAGACTCCTGGAGGAGAAACGACACACGCTTCCACTAATGAATTTTCCCAGGCGGCGCCATGCGCCTGCGCGGTCGTCTTCGAAAGTTTCCGCACCAGCACTCCGTCGAAAACGAGCAGCGAGCACAACAGTTGGCACAGCGCATGCAATGGAGCACCGTCCACACCCTTCACAGGGCCAGGGAGACACCCGTACACGAAAGAAGATTCGGTCCCATCATGAGTGAGGGCTACACAAGTCCAACCTGCGATCGTGGCCCGAGGCCACTGGTCTTCAAACGTCTGTCAAGGTAACCCTCGGTGGAGGCTGCCCTTCCCACAAAGCCACCTGCCCTCATCACAAACCCCACCAGGCAAGGGGGACCGAGGATCAAAACCACCTTTCGACAAAAAGTCACAAGTCACCCATGCTGGTCGCATGATCCTAGCGTGGCGACCCCGGAAAGTAAGTCTGGATGAGGTAACTTGTCCAGCCTCGGCCTCAGAGGCCATGGGCCGATGACCGGTGCACGGCGCAAACTTCAGGTAGGCTCGGGCCTCCCAGTTAAGAGCGAGGTGTCCCAGCACGAATGCGCCCGCGCCTGGCATGAAGTCGGTTGCTAAGAGGCCGCAATCGCGTTTCTTTGCTGATGTGTCCAAGCTCGAGATCGCCGCACGTGTGCTTCCATTGCGCAAAGCTCCTCCCTCTCATACTTCTCGATGTCCTCCCGATCTTCCCTCCTGCTCCTCCTGATTCTTTCCCATCCCCTCCTCTCAGCACAATCCTCAGGAGAAGGTGCTTTGGGGAATGTTTGTCATGTTAGCACCTCATAGGAGTCAATGAAGAACGCCGGCCATGTGACGATCAACTTCACGGGTCCGATCCACGCCCTGACGTTCCAGATGGCGTGGTCCAACAAGGAGCATCTACCAGAAGAAACGCCCAGGGTTGGGGAGGCCCGTCTGAGCCTCCCAACACGTTCCCAAAATGTGTGGGAATGGCAGTGTTTGAGAAGGTCGCCCCTTCCCCAGGCACCACACGCGCAGATTATTCGGCTTATACGCGGAGCACAGCCGACCCCTTGGGAGCCCCAGATGCCTGTCTGTCCCGATGCGTTGTCGTAAAAGCGTTTTCGCGCCGTGCGCCCATTTGCCGAAGCCAAAAACGTGCTTACGAGGGGCCCTGTTGAGGGCTTCTTGGAGGCTTCCGGAGCGCCTCTTGAGGGCTTCTTGGAATTGTCTTTTGGGCATTTTAGGGGTCTTGGGGGTCATCTTGTGCGTGGGGACTCCTGGGGCGCCTTGTAGTTCCTTGTCTGGGCCGGGGCTCCTCCTGGGGCCGTCATGGTAGTCTTTTGAGCCGTCTCGAAGTGCCCTGTGGTCATCCCGGGGCCCTCTTGGACGGTTTTAGGGCTCGCGCGTCACACACGCAGAACATACGAAAATATCAGGTTTGTGCCTCGTGGGGGCCTATTCGGGGACCTCCTGCGGCTCTCTTGGCTGCGGGGCGCAAAGGTGATAGCTCCATGTTGAAAACCAATCGCCCTCCATCCATGTAACTGTTGGAGGTGTTTAAAACGAGTGTCCGCGACACCCAGAGCTCATTTTCAAAACTGCGGTCTGCGGTGGATAACCAATGCATCCCTTTTCCAGGAGTCTCTGCGGGGACCTCTGGAGGTCACCAGAGCCTCAGTTAGTAGACGCGTATGGAAGCTAATGGACCCCGGAGGGGAGGCCTTCCCTCGACCTACCCCTAGGCTTTCCCTAGGTCAACCCCTAGGCCCTTCCCCTAGGCCTTCCCCTAGGCCCTTCTCTTAAGCCCTTCCCCCAGGCCTACCCTAGGCCGACCCCTAGGCCCTTCCCCTGGGCCCTTCCCCTAGGCCCTTCCCCTAGGCCTATCGTAGGCCTTTCCCTAGGCCTTTGTTCTAGGTCTTCCCCATAGGCCCTTCTCCTAGGCCCTTCCCCCAGGCCTACCCTAGGCCGACCCCTAGGCCCTTCCCCTAAGCCCTTCCCCTAGGCCCTTCCCCTAGGCCTATCGTAGGCCTTTCCCTAGGCCTTTGCCCTAGGCCTTCCCTAGGTCTACCCCTAGGCCCTTCCCCTACGCCCTTCCCCTAGGCCTAGCCTAGGCCTACCCTTATTCACCCAGGCCTTCCCTACCTAGGTCTACCCCTAGGCCCTTCCCCTAGGCCTTTTAGTTGTTTGACCTAAACGGTTGGACCCCGCCCTCCCCAGTCGGCTTGGGTTTCTCCTCTCCCTGCTCCTGCCTCTGCTTGCCCTTCCCCTTTTCCTCTCTCCCGCTCAAGCCTTCGGGGCTCAAAGCCCTGGAGCCGACCTCAGGAGGTCTGGGCGCCCGCGGCGCCCGGAAGCGTGCGTGCCATGGCTGCCCGGCGCCCGGCGCTGGCAGGCGCGGCACGCGGGCTGGCCGCGCTGGTCACCAGCGCAGCCGCCTACGACTGGCGCGGGCCCCTCAGCTCCGCTGTCGCCCGCGCCAGTTGGGGCCACCCGGCTGCGGCCCAGGAGGCCCCGTTCGGGTACACCGTGCCGTACTACGACGACTCCGAGTACGGCATGGAGATCGGCGAGCACAAGGAGGAGGGTGGGGATGCAGGCAGCCCCCAGGCGCCGCCCGACAGTGGGCCGCCGGGAGCGCCGCCCCCGCCCCCAGCCCAGGCCGCCGGGGGAGTCGACAATGGCAGCGACCCCACCAAGGACCCGGGCAGCGAGGAGTCTTGGGTGGGCGGCTGGGGTGTCTGGGCGCTGGGATTGAGGCCACTCCGTGAGGGCACCTGGGCCTGGCGCCTGAGTGGCATGGGCGGGGTCGCCTACGAGAAGCTTGACAGCCTTGGGAGCGCCTTCTCCACCCATGCCGAGACAGGCTGGCTGACCAAGGATGGTGGATGGTTCTTCTATGCTCTCGAGAAGCTGGGCCTGACGGTCTTCGGAGCCGCTTGGCCTGCCGTGGCGTGGACGTTCATCTTCTTGGCTTTCCTGGCGGTGCTGGCTTTCCTCACTCACATCTGTCGTACCCTACTGGCTCCCTGCGCAGCCGCCCTCTGGCTGATCGGTCTACTGGCGCGGTGCACCAAGTGCCGCCGGCGAGAGCCTGGCGATGCAGATGCCGAAAGGTACCTGCCGCCGGCTCCGCCTGCCCTTACCCAGATCAATTGGATGGGGCCAGAGACCGGACCAGCCACGACCACGGAGTACTACAGCAAGAAGGTGAAGGGTCGTGGGACTGGGAGGCGACCTAACGACGTGCTGATCAAGCTCGACGACCACGTGGCCCGGTTGAAGATCGACCTCTCGGAGCCCAAGCGGATCGACCGGAAGGGCCTCTGGATAGGCTACCTGGGCGTGAAGGGGGCCAGCTCACGCGCACTCCGTCAGAAGCTGGAGTCGCTCGAAGGCCGTTCCATTCACCTGTGCCGCAACCTGGTTTGTAGAGATCAACCTGGAGAAGTTCATTGTAAAGAGTATGCTGCCTTGGATTCCGAGGCGATCGTGGACATCGGCTCCCACGCCAGGTTCACCTCCTGCCGGGGCGTCTTCCTGCTCTGGCGGACCGTCGCCGACCTGGGGGGGTCATCTGGAAAGTTACCGTGTTCCTTTGCTGCATCCTTTCCTGCGGTTGCTCCTTTTGCTGCCAGCGACGCCGCCGTCGCAAGACAGGCGCTGCGGAGCCAGGCGTTGCAGGGAGCATCGCAGAAGTTTTGGATCAGGAGTCAGAGTCGGAGGTGGAGGCCGAGGACAAGCCATGTGAAGCTGTTCGGGTGGGTATCGTTCTACGTGGCGGCGCCCGCCCCTTGGCGCCCGACGGTTGCAGGGGCGCCGCGGAGGCCGAGCCGACAACCCTGCTCTTCGAAGACGGGCAAGCTTCAGACCTCCCGCCACCCAGTGACGGGCGGAATTCGTTCGCCCATCTCTGCGCACATCATGCCCAGGTTTACCGAGCATCTCGGCACCGTGATAAATGTTCGCAGGCGACTCGCTACCGCCAGGCAGTTGGCAACGCAGCGGGCGTACCACTATGTCTTCTTCATCTGGGTGGAGAAGCAGGTCGAGCAGTGCAGGCAGCCGCAGCCGTCCAGGGCCGCGGATTCTTCTCGAACCTGGGCTTGCGGCGTCGGACGGTTCGCAGTCGCAGCCCACGGGCGCGCGAGCAGGGCGTCCCAGTCAACGCAGCTCCCCCCGCAGACGGGGTACGGGGACCAGAGGGCCATCGCGGACAAGCAGCCCCTGGGCAGCACCGACGGGAGGCCCCAGCTTCGCCACGAGGGCCACCTGTTGGTGTCAGGTTTGAAGCGCCGCCTTCTCCGAGGGTGCCCCTCCCGCAAGACGCCAGCCCTGCCCCCGACGAGGAGACCGAGCAAGGTGACCCTCTCGTACTACGTGTGCGAGTCCACTGGGCCGCCGGCCCGCAGTGGGTTATCTTCTTGGGGAAGTCCCGTCCAGGGGGAGGGCCCACCGGAGATGGCAGCACGACTGTAGTAGACGTGGAGGAGCCGCACTGCAAAGACTACTCGGCGGAAGGCCAGGAGAACGTCTGCTTCACCCTCAAGACCGCGGGGACCGAGTACGCTCCCGTCGCCAGCGACCAGGGAAGGCTCCCCGCGGGCTACCTGGAGGAGCTCTTGTATTACCCACCACTCGGGGCCGAGGAAATGGGGATCGGGGCGCACGGCGTCGTCGTGAGCAGCACCATGTGGGAGAAGCTGCGTCCTTGGAACGGGGTCCCCGTCGGCGGGAAGACCATGCGTATCGGCCGCCCTCAGTGGGCTCAGCTTCGGGCCCGCGGGGATTTGCTCGTGTACCGGCATCCAGCGGGCACCTCAGGCGATGCCCCCGGAGTGCCGCAGCCCACCCCCGACGAGCTGGACGCGCAACTCAAGAAGCATTGGGCGAGGCTTGATCGCAGCAGTTCCCCCAAGCCCCCATTCGGCGTCGGGTGGGGCCTGGGCGAGGAGGGTGATCTGGCCCCCTCAGCCCCTCGGCGCTCTTCCCGCAGTCCGGCGGGGAAGGACCACGAAGAGGAGAACACCGGGGAGGCCATGCTGGGGCTGTGCCTCGCCGCTCACGAAGAAGGATCGGACGACGCCTCGGCGCTACAGAGCGCGGCGGCAGGATACGACGAGGACATCACCGTGGTCTTGGGGCATCTCATCAAGTACACCAGGCGTCTCATGCGCAGCAGCGGGACCGAGGAGCGGGCCAAATACCAGGCGCACATCGACAGGTGGGAAAGAAAGTTGGAGCGGGTTCGAGCCGAGAAAGATGAAGGGGTGAACCCACCCCTCGCTAGTGGCCTCTTGAAGCTAGACACCGAGCGCAAGCCCGACGCCAGCCAAGAGCCCAGCCAACCTGGAGTTCCCCCTGGGCTGGACGCCGCCACGAGCGCTCCGCCATTGCCGCCGCCGGCTACCCCGCCTGGCGCGCGCGTGCCGGGAGCGACTCGCTTGTCCCCGCCAGGTTTGATGCCCGGCCTTGTACCGAATCTCGGGCAGATGTTCACTAACCGGAGCGCTTACGGCCACGGAGGACTGGTTAAAACCCCGGGACAACCCGATCGTAGGTACGCCGCAGGGGCCGGAGAAGGTGAACCCTCAGCCGCTTTCTCCACCTACGCGCAAGTCCTCCAGAACGGTCAAGAACAGCAGCACCTGGACAACATGCGGCTGCTGCAGGCGGTGGACAGCCTCCGCAGGTCCGGCGAGGAAGAGAAGGTAGCGCAGCGGGGCGCCCTCGGCGCCATCGGACGCGCCGAGGAGCCGGGCGTGTACCTGGCGCGGGGTTGCGACACCCTCGACGTAGAGGTCTGCGGTACCCTGACCGGGCGGGAGTTGTTCCATGGCCTCAAGCGCGCCTGCGAGCACGCGAAGCACGCGATGCAGGCGGTGAACTGGCCGACGACAGTGACGAACAGGATGGC